AGCGTGAGCGTGGAAAGTGCATCAAATTTCCAAAAGGGAACGAGTTCCGATTACGCTCCAACTCAGTCAGAGAGGGTTGATAAGGATAGATAGTTTCCAATCTAGTTACAAAATGTGAGCATCAGCGATTTTTTATGTTATTGAGAGTAAGAACTAAGTAAGAGGAGCAAAAGTATTGTATTTTAATAAAATATGTAATTTTTTGTAGACCAAAGGGGAAGATTAATTCAATATTTACATTGAAATGCTGTTTTTTTTATAAAGAAAAGAGAAGTTTTAAAGAAGATTATACACTGATTTTATATAAAAAGCAAAAGCTGAAATTGTTTAATTTTCTTTTTCAATTTTTACACATTTTTTCTTTAAGACCAATTTATTTTTCAATGGAATAAATTTAATACGGAGAATTTTGATACGCCTTCTATTGGAAATTTAATGACGTGGTTTCCTTATCTGTTTGAATTTAATGAAGACAACCGGAGGTAAATAAGCTGAGAGGAAATCGGACCAGGCGTCGCGCGTAATTAGCAAGCGAGTCACGTGTAAATTGTCTCAAATGAGGGCTCATTCCTTCCGAATTCTACATTCGGTGCCGCGTGCCAAAAGAGAGTTGGTCGAATAATTACAGAAGTGTCCGCCGCGTGTTGTTATTATTATCATCATTCATTTGGAATGAACGCACGCGGTGCGCACAGCTGATTGCATATCGGGTGTAAATGAATCTTATTATTCAATCCACGGCTGATTTGCATAACCATCATTGACAATGCCTTTCACACAGTGAACCATTTATTCTGCACTATCTGGGGCAGTGTGTACAACATTGATACCTCTCCAGTGCGGCCTGGCCGCGAGGCAGAAATTGTAGAAAAATTAATATATGCAGTGCAAAATCGGCAACGGTGCTCAATAATTTTGCACTCGCGGCAAATTTAGCGGAAAATCGCTGCAGCAATTAATGCAATTATTTATATGATCACGGTCATAAATGCTGTGTGCAAAGTTAACGACTTGCTATTTCGCACTGCCGGGAATCGGCATTTTTTATGGCCTCGTTTGTGGATTAGACAACGAGAGTTGCGAAAATTGTCTGGCCTTGAACTTGCCAAAGTGCATAACATTGTTTTCAAACCAAAAGAGTCATTAGCGACTTCTCGGTTTTTAGGTTCTTTGCCTTTATTGTTTGCTCGCGAGTGAGAATTAAAAAGGACAAGTTATGGCTTCACTTCAAAAAGCAGCAAAAATACCTCCCTTTGTTGTTTTTCCTTTGAAGATCCAAGGTTTCCAATTAGGATATGACATGTGCACTAATCAATTTCACAATCAGTAAAACAAATTAAAGGTAAAAATTCACATGATTTAATTTTGTTATTACTTACCTCGTTTCATTGCGCAATATTTTTGTCATTTTTGTTATAAAACAATTTTTCTTCTTTCAAGCGCAATAACAATTATTGTTGATTTGTAAATTATATTGTTATTAACAAGTCAGGACTCATACGAGGGTTGAAATTCAATGTATTATTATATAAAATAATTCACTTTCGACTTCCAAATTAATTTCTGTAAGAAGCTTTGTTTTTTATCTATTTCTGCTTAAATTCTGCAAATCTTCAAACTAATCGCACACTGACCCTCCCTTTATCTCTGCAGAATTGACCTTCTCTTCAACAAATAATATCTATTTGTATATTAAAATTAATAAAAAAAAAATTATAAACAGCTAAGGTCGATGGATGGGTTTGCTCTAGTGAATTTTTTTTTAATTTAATTTTATAACACAAAATGCACCTAGTGAAAATTTGGAGATTTTTCGTCTTCAAACCAAATGGAGTAATTCATCTGTTTCGCGTCTTTCTTTTTCTCACCGGCACTGCACGATTAATAACGACAAAGAGGCGTGTAATTAAATCACAATCACCTTGACCAGAACTCGTAGTGGAGCAATTACATCCAAGTGTCGGTTTGCAAGTGGTAATGAGACTTGAATTGCTGTGGTCTCTCGCACTCGCTTTGTGCAATTATTTTTTTGCTCTCTTATTAATTTGTCTAAAGCAATAATTATTCTCTCACGCATTTCCAATTTGTTGATCGATCGAATTGACAAGTGAAATTCGATGACTGCTGAAAATAATAGAAGAGGAAAAGCAAAACCACCACGGGAGCGGTTCGCATGAGCGGTAATTAAAATTTAATGATTGGCAACGAGCAATTATTATTTTCTCATACAGCGCTTCCTTTGCTTTCGATAAAGGCCAATTAGTGAAACCAAACACAAAGGCGTCTTCCTCCTGCAATGGAAAGTCAATCAAATGTTTTTATATCATATTTTTGTCAAAATTAAAAAAAAAATTGCTTTTATTTTAAATAAATTAATTGTTGATATTTATATTTATTTATTTCAATGAGCCGGAGAAGTTTGTTTAGTTTCAAAAGAGGAACCGAGTTATCTCTTCCTCATGACGGCATCCCGTCCTAATGATCAAGTAACAAAGCGTCTGCCGAAGACGAAACTTTCACTGTCGGTTATAATTACAAATTAATTCTGATGATGGCGACATTGATGGACCCACGTGACCTTGGCGCGGTATGTGTGTGCATTTTTTAACCGACTTGGACAAAGGTTGCACGTGTGCTGATCAGCAAAAAATCCTTACATAAATTAAATTTTTACAATCTAAACACTTTGCAATTTTTTATTTGCCCATAATGCAAAATACTTAAAAATTTCCCACGGTTTTTTAATCAAACTCTTCAAGTTAAAAGATTGTAACAAAATTTCATTCTTCATTCCTTCCATTTCCAAAAGACTATTATAAAAGTAATTGAAAATTAAATTCAATTTTGAAAAAAAATCTTATCATCCAGTCAACAATGGTCCGCGAGAATATACATCAGTGCTATTTTTGTATTACGGCTCTAGTCGCCGCCGGGCACGGAATATACAATTCACAATTTTTCCCTTACCCTGAAGTGCACAATCGGATGACGCAATCTTGAGCCCAGCACACACACACACATGCACCACAGGTAACCTTTTTGAAAGACGCCGTGTCTGATCATCATCGCGAGAATATTCGCGAAACAAAAAAAAGTAGCGCCGGCAAAGGAAAATCGCACGATAAGATCTCTCCGAACCGCAAAATCGAACGCGTAGTTTTTCAATTTCCCACGAATAAAAAAAAGGGGGAAAGGAAAATTTTGTAATACCCATTGCGTAAGTAGAAAATTTCCTGGTATTTAAAAAAAAATTGTAGTAAATAGTTGTACAATTTAATTTGTGTTATTTAATTTATTAGTTTTCTTGAATGTTCTGAAACTTTTGAAGTATTTTGCGCAAACTGAACACCTCAGCCGAGACAAAATAATATTCTTAAGTGCAGCAGGGCGTGCAGAGTGCTAAATGGAAATGGCCATCTTCCTGTGTTCTCACAGACCGAATTATCCAGCGGCACGCACAGGAAACCGAGAGTCACTCTTGCATTCTCCAAGCTCTTTAGCGACTTATTTTTTACTTTAAATTAAAGTAAATATAAAATGAATGAAAAGTTCGTAAATTTTAAATTGACTTTATGCAAAGTAACAAATAATCCAATTAAAAAGGACAATGATTTATTTCTGACGAATTGATTTATATCCCGAACCTCCCACTTGTTCCCATTGTTCGGCTAGGCAAATGAAAGTGAGTGCCACTTAGCTTTTGGCATAGAGCCGCTGATCAACCTGATTAGATAGGTGTACCGTACTCGTTATTGATATTGCGTCTAGGATCCTCACAACGGTTCTCAACTATTACAAATTCATAAGCAGAAACGAAGCTGCAAAAGTCTCAATTTGCGTGACGTTTAATCCTTGTCAGGGAAAGATACAAAGATCGAGTCCAGTTTGTGACTCATTCGCAAAGGATTATTGGAATTTCCAGCTAAATGGACGCAGGAGGAAAGCCATACATTTGCAATTCTATGCAAACTCACACAGGTAAATAATTATAGGCTTGAGAAACCTGTAATTTAATGTTTTAAATAAATAAAAAATTGAAATGCTTAATTAAGAAATTTTGGCATTTTATTTTTATTCTTATTTTTTTTAGATTTTTCTCCCTAAAGATGAATTCCACGTGAACTGTCTTTCTTGATGATTTTATAATGATAAAAATAATATTATTATTAATTTTTTTTTTAATATTTTAAATGTTTTCTGTATATTTGCGATACCCTTTCTGCTCATTTTTTTTATGTATCAAATAAAAATTAATTAGAAACAATCAAATATTTTATTTAATTTAATAAACGAATATATTAATATTGAATTTACAGATTTCAAATTTCTGTTTGCCGATTTCCGATGGTAAGTTAGTATTTCATTTGTCATTGAAGAGTGGATTATAATTTACTTTGCACCGAGAGCAGATTGTACGACTTCCAAGCGGCGTCTTTCAGTTCAATTTAATCCAATCAAAATCTCTCATCCAACAGGTGGCCTCGACGCTCCACTTGCCCGGACGCAGTTCTACGACTTTGTTTAATTTTAGACGAATTTGCAATTTTAATATTTGATTAATATCATTAATTAAATTAATGCTGAAAAAAATTTAAAAAACTATAAATTTTAAGAAAAAAAAATTATCAATTTAATTCCGCGTCGAATACAAGATAAATAATTATAATTATTTATTTTTTTGTCAACTTTCATAGATTTACGCGCTCTGCGAAACTTGCGAATTTGCCAATAATTCTCAAAATCGCGAGTCGCACTGGCCAAATTGGCACACTTCTTGGGCAGAAATCTCACACAACGAGAATCGTGAAAAGTAAATGAGACAACAACGGTGCTTGTGGAGGCCGGCGATCGAGTGTGTATATGGTGAGTAAGGAAAAGCAAGCCAGGCAAACACACACCGCCGAAGGTCAGCAGCTAGGGTAGCGCTATAGATTTTCTCCACCTCTCGAGTAAAAAAAATTCATCTCCCGAAAATCAGAAGGAGAGAAAAAAAAACTCACCGCGGCCGAGATGTGAGGCGATCGCACTGGCAGAAGTTTTAATCCATTTCGGAGACCAGTTCGGGTCACTCTGATCAGATGCCCTTCTTATTCTTCTTCCTCTTCACCGTGTGTTCTTTCGAGATTCGCGGCGCTCGCTGTTGACTCTCGCGCGGCCAATCGCACACTACGCGGACTGCAAAGAAGTAGTGGCAGGCTGGGCAGGCAGGCAACCCGACCGACCGACCGACAGCCTCTCTCCCGCATGCCTCCTTTCCCTTGCCTCCTGCTCTACAGATGTCTCTCTCTCTCCAGCAACTTCAGTGTGCGGAATATTATCTTATATAGTCCCATTACCTGTGCGTGTGTTTACACCTACAACCTTCCCCAGGGACTTTTGGAGGATTAGCCGCGGGCTCTAAAAATGCCTTCAGGTACGGTATTAGAAAAACACGGAGTTATGCTTCGTGTAATTTTTTCATTCGGAATAATCCGAAAAAAAGTATTTGAGTTTATCAGCATAGCGGGGCGTTTTGCATATCCTGCGCTTGTGATTAATAAAGCCATGCAACTGAAAATAAAAACTTGTTTCTGATAAAACTTAAGTTGGTTTGCACAAGTCTTACGAGTGATGATGGTGGTACTTTATTGAATGCGGTAATTTAACATTGCGACCTCGCATAAAGGATTATTGTTTTTATAAAATTTCATGATCAAAATATTACGGGAAATATGACTATCGAGATCTCTCATAATAAATAAAAGACTGCAAAACTTCGCTTCATTAGCTAATCAAAAAATGAATGGCAAAATTTGAAATTTGAGAAAATTTTATAGGAAGATTGAAGATCTTTCCTTCTTTCATTTTATTTTTAGTTTTTGCTGCTTTTGCAGAAATGAAAAACATATTTAAAAAAATTCAAATATTTTTAATGACATTTATTTTACCTAAATAAAAGGAATTTTGTGAAATAGATCATGTTATCTGAAAAACATTTTCAACGATAGTAAACACATTACAAAAAAGCTCTATCTATTAAAATCATTATTATCGTTTCTATAGAGGCAAAATTATATTTTCCTGAAAAAAGTTTGGAGATTTTTTCAGCAAAAAAAATTAAACTGTAATCTTTCTCTGTATGTATTTATTAAATATTAGAACAATAAATAAAATAGTAACGAGTAAAATTGTCAGCATTTATAAAAAAATTTATTTTTTGAAATTAAAAAACAATAATTAAGTTTTGCCATTTCAAAATTTAATTGGAATTTTTGGTAAAACTTTACAAAACTTAATTCTTTTAATATAACGACTTGAAACTTTGATTTCCCTTATTATTTACTGCTCTTTTTTAACAAATAACCCTGCGTAAACTATAAACAAACATTTTTATAGCAGGAACGCATAATATTATCTACAAAATTTACGCCATTCTGTCAAGTTTTCGACGTTTTTGTGTTTTTTTTATTTCGTTTGTTTAAAATGTGTGTAATTAATTAATTAAACTCGTGCTAGCGATAACCTTGGCTGATGGTGCTGTTGAAATGTATAAAAAAATCCCGAGAGCATGTCCAATGTTTCCTCAGGTTCGCATGCACTTTGATTGATTAAACACACATATAATTCTCAAGTCTCATCCCAAGGTGTGTCAAAGGAGGCAATTAAGTAGAATAAAAGTACATTTAGTGTTTTTCCTCTTGACACATTAATTAATTACTTTGAACGAAAAACGTCAGAAACAAACGAAATATATATTTTGTATTAAAATATATTCATGCGAGATTGTAGTTCTGGTGCTGATTGGAGGATAAAAATTTAATTGAGTAACCCAGCATTGACCCATACAAGTGCAAATATGCAATGTGTCAGCACATTAAATGTGAATGTGCCGCGTCTTCACAATAAAATCTTCCCGGTCTTAACACGAGACGCGATGAGATAACACGCACACAAATACAAATTACACACCTTCTGAATCCTCTCAAGGTTCTTTTCAATCAAACACATTTATTTTATCCACGACATCTCTTATACATCATTATCTTTCAATTGCACGTGGATAAAAAAGCATGAGATGTCCAAATCTCCAATGAACCCTTTTGGTTCTTTTTTAATAAAAACAATGAGCCATTTTAAAACAATTCCATACTAAATTTCCTACTTTTATATCTTTTGTTTGGTGTAGCTTCCGCCAACGATGCGTCGGCTCGATCTGCACAAATTTTGTCCTTGACCCGCGGCACAAGGTGAGTCTCGACAATTTTTTATTTGCTACCCGCCGCAGCCACAATAGATTTTTAAAAAAGACGCCGGTCTGCCAGCATGTAATTTTGGGCCGATTCGCTCCGGACGTGATTAATTTGAGCCGCCAGATAAGCCGCAGTCGTGACACGAAAATCAGCCACACTTTGCCTTGTGTACCTGAAAATTTATTTTCAATCTTTTCATCTTTGACGGTGGGATTCGTACCAACGATTGCAATCATAAAAAACTCGATTTTTATTATTTGGATCTTGAGATGTGCTGGATGAAAAAATATCAGACAAATAATTGGCCAATATTTGCCAATATTCTCCGAGTTATTATTTCTCCGAACGCTTGTAATTGAAACCTTGGCACAAAGGACGCTCAATATTTGCAGGGAAAACAAATATCATTTACACAATCTTAAAAAAAATTTATATTCGTCGATACAGGAAAATTGCAATAAAAAACTGAAAACAATTGTTTGCGCTGAGTGAGATCGTTGGTTTCTCGGTGAATTTATGCATTCAACCCGCATTCTCGTGATTTCCTCATTTCAAGGCAGCATAAAAAGATTCCGCTTTGTTCAAACGGGAGAGAGGCGCCTTAAAAATTAATCAATCATCCGGCTGTGGTGCGTGACATTGCATTAAATTTGCACAGACACCTCACCAGACTTAAAGAGAGGCTCTTCAGTAAAGAGCTTTGAAAATATTGAGAGATAAATTCTGCGATTCGCATATATTGCGAGCGGTCCTTGAACAGTTTAAAAAAAACACCGACTATTAGCTGCGAGAGACACGTACTTCCGCAACATCTTCCTTTGCTCATCAAAGTTTTTTATTCTCGCCGCACTGGTGCGTCCAGACAGAGACGCAGGAAAATTTGACAGAAGGTACTGAGTGAGGCAGGAAGAGCTTGTTGAAGTAATTGCAGGGTAATTGTGTTTGGTATGATTACTGTTGACAATAGAGCATGATTCTCCCAATCTCGAGGCGTGCTGCAGATCTTGCCTGTTCGCAAAGCAGGTATGAAATGAGGAAACGTGCGTCAATATAGAAATGTACATGCGTCTCTTTATGACATGTCACAGCTGCGCATTTATATTGGCCAACAATTCTCGCATTGTTAATGGAAGCAACTACTGTTTGCCTCAGAGAGCAATGACACCATTTAAAATTTGCGTTTCATCATTTTTAAATCCTTTTAATGACAATTTAAAGAGAACAAAATAATGGTCATTTATTTAGGTTCAATAATTATAAAAGAAAAAAAGAAATGGAAATCAGCCGATTATTTTTAAAAAGAGATTTAATCCATTCCTTCATTCAATGAAAAATTGTGAAATTTTTGTAGCTGGTAGCTTAGAATTTCGAGCTAGTACAAAATAATATCTTTCCCATTGAGAAATATTGAAAAAAAAAAAATTTGAATTTCCAATGGTCCCTATCTTATTTTTAAACTTTGAGCAGATTATTCTAGAAACCAATTTTTATTTAATTATAATTATAGAAAAATTGAAGTCTTCTTTTTGTTTTTAGCACCATTTAAAGCTGAACCACACTTCGAATGCTGAAATCAACCAAAAATTAAATTAAATTAATTGTAAATCTTTAACTTATTTAAGATTTCTCACCTTTTGCCAGCGTGCATTAGGTGGAAGGCTTCGTTAATCTGGTCCAGGGGCATTTTCTGTGTGACAAATTCGTCAACCATCATCTTTTTGGACATGTACCTCTCCACAAGCATGGGCACGCTGTCCTTGCTCTTCCAGCCTCCGAAGGCTGTTCCCTTCCATGTGCGTCCAGTCACAAGCTGGAAGGGTCGAGTGGAAATTTCCTGTCCGGCAGCGGCCACGCCAATGATCACCGAAGTGCCCCAGCCCTTGTGGCAAGCCTCCAGGGCAGCTCTCTGTAGAATTTCGTTTTAAATATGATTTAAGGTTTCATTTTGGAAATGTATACCATGGTCTGCACATTGCCGACGCACTCAAAGGTGTAGTCAAGACCACCATCGGTCTTGTCCACCAGCACTTCTTGGATAGGCTTGTCGTAGTCCTTCGGGTTCACGAAATCAGTGCAGCCGAATTTCTTGGCTGAAATTTGTGGGTAATTTTTTCTTTTTTAATAATTGAATCAAATTTTTAGAAATTTTTTATTTAAAATATTTGTTTGAAGCAGTGCATAGGTAACTTAGGGATGAGAGTTAAAAAAAAAATTCTTACAGGATTATCAAACTTATGGAGGTGAAGTAAGAGTATGTATAATTACTTGTCATAAATTTTTTTTTATGGAGTGTCAAAAACTGCACAGCTAACCACAAGACTGAACCCTAGAATTAAATTTATACGTTAAATTTAAAATGTCTTCATATCTTGTCGATAATATTTTTTCAGTATTCAAATTTAAAAAAAAAAAACTCATTAAGCTCTCTAATTTAGAGTTAATTGTAAATATTTTTTACTGCAAGAATCTGGTTAATTCCTGGTTAATTAATGTTTTTAGTGATAAAATTTTCCTCCGTCGTTTTTTCCTCATAGTTTCCCTCTCATTGCTTATCAGTTTGTGGTTCTTTATGCAAAATATATATTTATTATCATGAGCGTCCTGTTGATTACTCAGTTTTCGCTCCACATTTTCTCTTTTTAAAGTAAAATTTTTCTTCACAATTTTGGGTATTTAAGCTCATGTGAGAGTTCCAGACAATTGTTGGTTTTACTTTCGAACCTGTTTCAAACTTGTCAGGGTTGACGTCCACGCCAATAATGGTCGAAGCTCCTGCCTCTTTGCAGCCCATGGCTGCGGCCAAACCGACGGCTCCTAAGCCCCAGATGGCACATTTTGAGCCAGGTTCCACCTTGGCAGTGTTCAGGGCAGCTCCGTAGCCGGTTGAGATTCCACAACCGAGCAGACACACCGTTTCCAGAGGAGCTTTTGAATCGACCTAAATTTTCGAATTGCATTTTAATAATTTGAGTAAAAAAATTTATCTCTACCAAACCTTGCAAAGGGAATGGACAGAGACGACGGTGTACTCGCTGAAGGTGGAGCAGCCCATGAAGTGGAAGAGTTCCTTGCCCTTGCAGGAGAACCTGCTGGTGCCGTCGGGCATCAAGCCCTGGCCCTGAGTAGCTCTGATCTTGCCGCAAAGGTTGGTCTTTGGGGACTTGCAGAATTTGCACTCCCGGCACTGCGGAATGTACAGAGGAATGACGTGGTCACCTGGCTGGAACTCGGTGACCCCGGCGCCCACGCTTTCGACAACGCCTCCACCCTCATGTCCAAGAACGCAAGGGAACTTGCCCTCGGGGTCGTGACCGTCCAGGGTGTAGGCGTCGGTGTGGCACACTCCAGTGGCCAACACTTTAAGGCGAACTTCACCCTCTTTCGGGGGCGCCACCTCGATCTGCTCGATGACCAGCGGCTTCTTTGCCTCCCAGGCCACAGCCCCCTTGCAGACAATCACCTGAAGAAAAATATCAATTGTTAAATAATGAAAAATAATCAATGAAAGGATTCATAAAATCTCCAGCTACTTTTATGCATTTTTTTTTCAAAATTTAATTTTTTTCTCTTGTTAAAATGGACGAGACTGAAACATGACCTTTGAATTCCATCAACATCCTTTGAATGTTACAAAATGATAATAGAACAAGTGGCAATACTTTTGTAAACACGCTCGCAATTTGTGTAAATTTTTTGAATACAAACTTGCCTTTCCAGCAGTGTCACTCATTTCGAAGAATTAATCAAGCTTCCTTTGAGTGGATAAAAGTCACTGATCAAATTCCCTGCCACAAGCTGCCCTTCAGATTGAAAAAAAAAACTATATATTTTTTGTTGAAAGCTAGTTAAAAGAGATGATGAGCCGGCTTTGAGAGGATTTTATTAATTTTGTGCACACGGCACCTCCAGCGAGTTTGATCAAAACAGGCAAGCTCGAGACATCTGGTTGTCGGCAGCAGCAACGTTTCTTTGTAAGCGTTACACAGGTTGCATAAATGGCAGGTAACCTCAGGATTTACGTTCTGGCTGATGAGCCTTGGAATGAGGTGAAATCGCGATCTATGATCTATTGCCTTAAATTTGCTTTTTTAAACGTTATTTCGGTCAATAGAGAATAAATTTCTCATTACGGGCTAATTAACTTTATTCTTTATAAGTGTATGAAACAGGATTATATAGTATTTGAAATTAAAATGCAGGATATTAATCAAAGGCTTAATTTAATAATGACAAAATTTAATTTAAAATTAGTGCTGAGGGTTGATAACTTCATTTTTATAAATCAAATGGGAAAAGGATTTCTTAGTTGAAAATGAGTTCTCTGTAGTTCTGCAGAATGTAGTATGTGGAGACTCTGCAGGCGGTGATAGCCCTGACCACCGTATTTCTATCGGCACGCTCGAAGTTGGCTTTCACAATTTCGTAGTAACGTCCATCACTAAATAGTATCAAAATTAATTTAATTATGAAATTGAATTTAAAAAAAAAAAATATTAATTTTTATCGTTAATGTTTTATATAAAAAATTGTATAATTTAAAAATTTTATTCTTCACCTGAGACCCAGCGCCTTCATCTTGAGACACTTGACGCGGAGAATATCAATCGCCTTTTGGCTCTTGTCAGAGAACCTGAGGTTCTCAGGGTCCCAGCGCAGCTCCAGGCGCTCCAGATTTGTGCAGTTGTTAGCAATGCCGTCCATCAACTGGTCAACGTGAATATTCACTCCGAGGCGCTCTTGTGTTCCCATAATAATAATCCTATCATCATAATTAATTTAAATTTTGACTGGTTTAAAATTCCGTTTCTCACTTGATGCTCTTCAAAATGGGTAGAATGGCCTGCCACAACTGGTCAGTGATGTGCGGCATACCTGACAGAGACAGTGCCTGTAGCTGGGGACCATATTTTGACACAAATCTGTGGATGGCCTCGTCGCTCAAGTTGTCGGACGCGTCCAGATCTAGACCGACAATATTTTTGGGGTTGCCCTGCTCCATCCACGCTTTCATGACCTAGAAAAACATGAATTTTTAAATCAAAATTTTATGTAAAAGCTACTAATTAAAAAAAAATTGGAAATTCCTTTCATGAAAAAATCATTAGTTTAAACTCAAAGAAGTAAACTTACTTTCATTCAATTATTTTTTATTTCAGTCTGATTTCGGTGATTTGATTTTTTTTTAAATTTAATGCACTTAATTACAAAATAATCCAAATAATATAAATTAAAGCGATATTTTATATTTTTTTTACTAATAAATCTTTAATATTTTAAATCACTTACGGAATCGTTGAATCCATTGATTTGGCCGGCGCTCAGGTATCTCAGGGCTGGAATTCTAGTCAGCATGTCAATTAGACACTCGGTGGACAAATCGGTGGCCGAAATGTCAAGTTCCTGAACCGCCGTCTTTTCCCACTCCACCTGCATTAGGTGTTCACTCTGCAAGCCTTAAGTAAAAATATATTGATTTAAAATAAAAAATAATTATTTTTTTTTCAAATTCAAAATACTTGTCTGATTCATCAAAAGGCACCTGAGGCGCTTGCTGCGTTGGAAGACGGTTTTGAGACACGAGCCGGTAACTTTGTTGCAGAAATTCACGGCCAGGCACTCCAACTGAAATCAAATTATAATTTGAAATAATAATTTATATAAAATTTCAACGTAAATTTGATCAGTTTTAATTTATTTTAATGTTTTTACTTGGATGCAGTTTGAGGAAAATGCTTCTATGTGGCTGTCGTCGACAAACGTAATTCCGTACATGTTGATCACCCTCAAATTAGGGGTGGCCGCCTTGAGCTTGTGCACGTTGATGACTTCATAGACCTCTTCTTCCTCTTCCTCAACCTTTTCATACGTGCCTGTAAAATACAATTTTTAGTAAAAAGTTGAATTAATTTTGAAAATAATTTACCAATGAGGTGGAGGATTTCCAAGCCGTTGATGAAGTTGTAAATTTTCCTCATGAAACCTTCCATGAAGATGACCTCAGAGAGGCAAATGCACAGATATTTGAGTTTGGTGGGAAATGCCTGCAAAAATTATATGAGAAAGGAAAATTATAAAAGGGATTTATTTTTACCTGCATTTCGCTGAAGTCATGCAGCTGCATGGCGGTGGAAAAGTCCAGCAGCATGTGAGTCAAATTTGGGCACTTGTTGGCCAGCTCATGGAAGACATTGTGCGTAATTACCTCAATGGGCAGCTCAATGTAGCGCAGAGAAGCGCCAAATCTCACACTGTTTTAAGATTAAAAAAGTTCAAATTTTAAATTCAGTTTTCTAGCAAAATGAAGTTTGCAATGTTTTCATTAAAAAAATGTAACATATTTTTTATTAAACCTGATTAGGGCGAGGAGGGATTCGAGGCTGCTGACGTGCAGGCCAGATATTTCGGGCCGAAGGGACACGGCAGACCAAAGTCTCGTGTCGTAAGCAATCTGACGCCACTTCTTGCAAATAGTGGCCAGTCTGCAGATCTCGCGGTGCGACAGGTAAGAAAAGATGTTGAGCAGCACCTTGTCGGGCATCTTCTCGATGGTCTGCGTGAAAAGAACGGGATTAGTGGGAACAGGACAGGCGTCCGGAATTTCAGTTTCGCGCCAATTTGAGACCGCTGTCCATTTTTTGTTAATTAAAATTTAATAAATTGAGTTCATTATCTTACTTAGAAAAAGAAAGTAAAGAAAGAGAATTATAAAAACACGCAAAATTAAGTTGAATGAGTATTACGACTTCATAATTAAAAATTTAATGGCGATTTGTTATTTTAGAACTAAAGAATTTTATTAATAAAAAAGCGGAAAAAATTAAAGAGCAGAAATTTTAAATATTATTGACGTTGCGGAGATTTGCGAGTGTCTGTCTCGTATTTTTTTCCGTGTACAGACAAAATTAATGCTAAGAGAAAATAAGTGATTCTCGTCAGAGAGAAGTAAAGAGACGCATGTCATGCAGTCAAATGCAAAAGTGAAGCGCATTCCAAATAATTGTGTGGCTCTCGGATCAATTTCGAGACTTGTGAATTTGACTCCATCATGCTCCATCCAAAAAATGTCACGCGGGAGTTTGTCAGGCGGAGTGCAGGCCTGGCGGATTAATGTTGTCAAAATCGTCAGAAAGAGAGAGAAAGAGTAAATGCGGTGTATATGGAGTTAATGAGAGAAAGAGAACTTTTCGTAAATTTGGCAAAAAACAAATATCATAGACAGCTAGCTTGAGAACAGTGTGTGTCCCAACCACATTTTCTGCTAGTTTTTTTAAAATTAATCTACACGAGCACCAAAATGCGTCTATTTACATTTAAAAATTTTGCTGCTGTGCACCGGGGGCTGCGGAATTTGGAAAAGTTAAACACAGAGAGCGTTAATTTTTGAAGCTCCACTTGAGAATTTGACTGGACCATACACTTCAAATCCTTAAAATCTCCAAGCAAAAGCGCTATTAACTCTAAAGCTAATATTCTCTAAAACACTGAATTCCAAACTGAAGCTTTGCAATAAAAAAGCTTAAATTATTTTGATCTGTAATGCCTAATGAAGCAAAATAAAAAAAGCAAAACATAATGAATATATGAGAGAGAAATTTTGATAGAAATGCTGCTGCGAACTTTTTGGTGACTTACATTACTCGGTGGTTTTTAACGTTTCTATTTTAAGTAATCCTCCGGTAAATTTTTATAACTTCCCGCAATTACCCAATTTCGGCGAAGCTGGGAAGCAGAAGTTAACTTACCGTGTCTGCAAATGGACTTTTCGGCTCTCCATTTTCGTCCGTCGATTCTTGATGAGTCAATTGGCCCCATTTCTTTATTCACGAGACCAAATTCGGATCAAATTTGAGAGAGGAAATGAGAATTTTGCAATTTAATATCAAATCGTAAGAGAGGAAAATATAATATGGTGAATAAAATCATAAAATATATATATTTGAGAATCAGAAAATCACATACGCTGAGGGCATAATCCATGATCACTTGGCTACAATAATTAACGAATTAAATTAAAAGTATGGAAAACAAAAAGCAGCAACCCGTGAAAAGTAAAGTGAGAGAGAAAAGTTGGCAAAAAAATGAGTAAGAGATGAGCAGATAGAGTTTTGAAAGTGATTGGTCGACACACTGAGACGGACTGGAGGACTGAGTGAGAAGAGAGGTTTCGCATGCACCCACCGCGCGAGCTATTTTTTTCACTCCACATTTGTAATCCCTAGACGTATTTATAAATATCACCGGCCTCAGCTGGAGCCACAAAAATATACTTTTAACATTGATATTTTTTAATCTTACACTTCCAACGTGTGGTGATAGGTGGACGTGTCTGATGTGTTACCAGCCAGACAGTCTTGATTCGAGAGAGACAAACGGCGTCAGGGGTGGAAAAGGTGCGGACCGCAAGAGTTGAGAGACAGTTTAGTACAAGTTTAATTGTTTTGAGTGAGAGAGACTGAGAGAGTTCACACAACAGGGACACATCATGGTATTATTGGTAAGATAAATTTGATCCTTTTATTTTTAATTTGCTGTGCCCAAAATAAAGACCTGCTGTTCGGAGAGAAAATAAAATTCTGCACAATTGTTTGAACTAGGAAAGCATAATAACTTTTAACAGTGAAAAATGTTTTTTATTATTTATTTTACGAAATTCACTAATAACAAGAATTTTTTTGGTAGAAATTTACGAAGTGCGCTTTAGTGGTCATATGAATTTTCAATGTAATTTTAATTGAGATTAAAGTAGAATTTTAATTTTATCTTTGAAGTTAAAACTGGTCAGGCCAAAATTCATAGCATTTAATTATATCAAACTTCAATAAATCAAGCTGCAGGAATAGTAATTTCTTAACTTAATTCAGGCTCCTTTTTTTGCCTCCCTTTTATAACATGTCTTGTTCTTTTTTAATTGCAAAGAAAAATGACGCTTTGTCATTGATAAATTTTAGCATATTTGAGAGGTACGAATGATTTATTATTCATTTTTATTACATATGATTATCAGATTTAATGAACCTAAAGCCTAAACGAAACCTGTTTGACACCTTATGTGTAACTCATTAATTGTCAGAAAATTTCCTTTGGCTTTAATATGAACATAAATTTAAGCCCCTGAACGGAAAATGCTTGATGATTGTGATCAAAACGACTCTACTGATGCAAATCAAATTTTAGATCAAGAATACTGATTTTCAAACTTAATCATGGGTTTCCTCAACGTTGTAATTGCAGGTCCGAGTAAAATTTCTATAAATAAACAAGAGCCGCCTTACGTTTTTCTCAGACGGCTCCAAAGTCAATATTATCCCAGAGCTTTTTGAAACCAGCAGCGATCAAGCTGAAAAAAAAAACAACCAGCAAGTCCAATTGACGAAATGAAAAATAAACTTGGCATGAAACTGGCGCAGCAAAAGATTTTTATGTCTAATTTCTAATTACAACAATGAACACGCTCCAAAACAACGAGAATCAAGCAAAAAACTGGCGAGCAGCGGTTGATTAGGGATCATTAAGTTAGGTCACACTTAAAAATTATTTATAATTAAATTTGAGCATGCTCGAGAGGCGCTTCCGGTAGGTTGCTGTTCACGATATAATGGTGTTTATTGTTTTGGGGGCAACAATGGCTGGACGAGTACCGCTTTGGCGAGGAATCCTTTCTCGTCGGCGCCACGGTTGGCCGCCGAGGCGGCCGCAAACTCGACCGAAAGTTGGCCCCACGAATCCATGCTCACAGTGCCGAGGGCGGCCAGAAACTAAGCACCCGCGATTGTTGCCGCGCTCGCGACCCTATTGTTGGCCCCAGAGGGCGCAGCTAGGCAATATGATTATTTTTGTCCGCCACCGCGCACCTCAGGTCCGCAAAAACAAAGCACACCGGTGTGCTTTTAAGACTTCACTTTTAATTAAACCGAGGATTTAATGCTCTTGGGCAATTAATTTATATATAAACACGGCACGGGACTGCGACGTGTTACGTGTTCATTAGTTTGAAAACATTTTCTAAAAACCTTTTGTTTGAAACAGGAAAATATGAAATATATCAAGAAATCTGAAATGATCCGCATTTTGAAAATATAAATATTTTCTTTTAATTATTTCCTGGTCAAAATTTTCTCAGGAATAATAACACTATTAATGCAAGTAAATTGGCTTAGTACATTTAAAAAAAAATTGTTTTACGCATTAAATTAGTGTTTATGTTGTCGGAGCAATTAAAATATTTTTAATGCTTTTTTGAATGAGCAAAAATTATTTATACCCCGAGTCGCCCCGAGTAATGTATTGCACTCTATGTGAAAGAAACTATTTTTCTTTTATATCATAAAGCATTAAACAAATACATAATTATGTCTTCATTATTTTGTATTAAAATATATTTTCTGATATAAAATAAAAAAGCTGAAAAACACTAAGTAAACATAAAATTGTTAAGAGAGTTTGGAGATTATTTTTTAATATGTAATCGATTAAAATTTATTTCTTTTTACTCAAATAACCTAGATTATAAGTTTTTTTAATAATAAATAAACTTGGAGGAGTTATTTGTTTAATTTTTGGTTCGAAATTAGATAGGGAAAAAACGATTTTGTTACTATCAGATTAAAGCAACTTAATTAAACTGATTAAAACAATTATTTTATACTAATAAATTTAGGAAATTCCAGTATAAAGTGAAAGGAAGAACTAAAACATTAGTGTAATGCAGTTTTGTAACGTGACAAACAATTTCTTAGTTTTCAAACCAATAAATATAATATCGTCTATGATAGACCCAAATTAGCAGCAGCATTTTCCTCTTTTCTCTCTCGTAATCGTTTCAATGGATGTTTTTTTTTAAATTGTCTTCATTTTTTTAAAGTTAATATTAAATCTTTCATAACTAAAATTAAATGCAATCCTGGCAAACTTCATAAAATCTTAAAAAAGCACCTAATTTGTAAATTTAATTTCAAACGCTCTAATTGTAAACAATACCTGGTGACTTAAGATAATAGGACGTTTAAAGTTGACCATCTTCTTGGATAATTAACGCTATCAAGACACGGGTGAGACGTTCAAATATATTGCTTAAATTTTAACAAAGATGCAACAAGATGCAAATGATTAGACACCTAAGAAAGCAGAAACGTGACTTATATAATTTTCGCACATTGCAACATTATAGCTTAAGAGAATGGTCTAGAGAAGGAGAAGGTTAGAGAGTTTCTATAAACTATGTAGGATTTTATTTTGATATCAGCAAACCGTTCTGCTCCTTTTCTTCCGGCTCGGGCGGACACTTTGTTGGTGGCCGAAAAAATGCGCTCCCGGAGTCTGAAACGCCTCCAGGTTGACGTAATTCCAATTCGACATTCGCCGGTCCATTTTTCGGGATACCAAACCTTGCCGGTAGATCGAGAGAAAAAGTGAAAAAAATTGAGTGACGTGCGTTGGTCGTAAAGTTTGGGCATTCGTTCTCGTCCAGCTCACCTCCGCAGAAAAATGAATGGGTTTTTTATATACAAATTAGAGGCCGCGGTTCGCCATATATATGTTTAAGCATACAAACCCCCTGCTGTAATTTTCTACTTGGCACGGATTCTCGGACCAGTATTTGGCACCGTCTTTCAATCCCGACCGTCTTGAGGGCTGGACTGCGGCAGACTCACTCTCGGTCTAATTTTAGACGTGTGGATGTGCATTTGCCTCAAAACTATACAGAATGTGCCTCCGACGTCACTTTCTAACACGTTATCCATTTAATAAGAAAATTTCCAATCACAATCCTCATTTGTAGGAATTTTTAAATTTCCAAAAATATATATAATACTGCAGGTTTCCTAAAATAAGTATATCTGATAAGTTAAAATTAAAATCTTTGAGTTATTTTTTTCGGTTCACAATTTTTCCCCAAATATTGGTACAATCTAAAAAATTATATGTGCACTATGAGCCAATTTAGTTTTTTAATTTTAATTATTTAATTCTGAAGAGTTGCTGTTAAGATTTCAGGCAAGTGTATTTATGGATCCTTTTTCACATTCTGTGACGACATTGAAAGTTTTGAATAATTTGAAATTCTCGTCTCGAGAGGGCAGCTTGGACAGAGATGAACAAAAAAGCCAAAAGACGCCGTTTGATTTTCAGTCTCCCTTTTATATATTTCTCACATTCGCTCTATGTGTTGTTTTTTCCAACCGGCAAGACACACGAGAGTTGATGGTTCATAAATTAAATTGTGACCCGCACACCAAAGAGGATGACGTCAGCCGCCTTAGTAAACTTGCTTTACCAAGGATATCAAATATATAAAAAACAATAACGCATATTATGAACTTAGAATGATAATTGAATTTTTTAATTGGATTTTTTTTATAAATATTTCACGCCTTTTATTTGAGAATTTCAACGGATGAAATAATTAAAATTTATTACCATTTTGCGGAAAACTGGTTTTGCCTTCTCTGTGTCGACGTAAAAATGAAATTTTATTCCTCCATGTGACGGAGTCGTAAATTTTTTCAAGGAATGGTTCTAGCTGGTATTGGAGTTCGCGAAATAAAAAGAGCCTAGGGTCCGTTATTAACTTTTAACATGCGAGAATCTACGGGGATAAACGCAGAGAGGACCTGCTTTTAAAATTCTTCAGATTTGTGATTACCGATTATCAACGCTTAGGAACACAAAAGAAAGAAAAGAAAACAGCTGTTTTTAAATTTAAAATGCGAGGCCAGAGTAAAAAGACTTGCAGAGCGCTGCTGAATGAGTAGGCTTGTGCGTCTATCAGAGCTTTGTCTTGTGCTTGTAGGGGCGGACTGGATGAAAGTAACTGATTAAAAATTTAAGATTTTACAAAAGTTTAATAAATAATGTAATTTGGTTTTAAGTAACGGTTATATTGTTATGGAAAATAATTAAGCCACGATCTTTTTCTACTCCGACACAGAGCATTTATATCTTTGTAATTATTACATTTAAAAATATTGAAAAATCAAGGATATAAAAATGTAAAAATTAATGTATGTTCCTTGAAAATGTTTGTATAAATTTAAAACGTTTTCAAAATACTGCAGGAGCAATAAATTAAATTATTAAAAAGATTTTTGTTTTTAGTAAAATTATATTCACAAAAGCTATACTTTTATATAATTATATTGAATTTGAAGAAAAAAAGTTCAAGTTGACTATTTTAAATTAATTATTTTATCCCTATTTTTTTTTCAATCTTGAAGAGCCTAGTTGATTAGTTTTGAATATTTATTGAGTTACTGCACGGAAACGTTGATTGATAACCAAGAACAGTCCGTGGCTGGTGCTCTTCTCCCGCTCGCTCGCCCACATCTGGTGCCTCCACTCCATCGAGGCGTCCATGCTTCCAGTCGGTTCAGTCTCGTGCGCACCCTCGCCGCAGCTCATCCGTCTCTGCATGAACGCAGCCCAACTATAATATACACAAACACGCTTCCGATTTGTACTTTTTAAATTCAATCCGAGAAACATGGACGACTGACTCGGGTGTGAACGGTTTAGTTGAGTGCAATTTAGGATGTGGATGGAGATTTTGCAGCACCAGCAGATCATCTGCTCGCTCTTTGGCGCGCTTCTCGTCGGGGTGTGTGGAATTTTCCCCCTGCTGGTCATCCCCATCGAGGAGGGTGCCAACCTCAAGCACGGAGGTATAATTTTTAAAGAAATCCACAAATCTAAAAATTCTCCTTGTCTGTTTGAAAGCTCAACACTTTTTTAATTAATTTAGAATTTCACTAATATAAATTAAATAAATTATGAATATTTTCAAACATACTTTTTTCTTCTGATATTTAGCTTGAAAATAAAAAATAATTTTTCTTTCATAAATTACGTTTTTTTTTTTAAACAGCAAGGGGCTTAATTTATTGAACTTGTAAAAGAAAAAAATACCTCAGCTCTTATATTATATTCGCCTGAATTAGTCAAATTCCGAATGCGTTCTCAGTTCCTAGGAATCTTTATAGATGAATGCAGTTCAGTTGCATCTGCAAGTTGGAGACCAAGTTGGAGACCGCGTCTCTCAACTTCAAGTGACTGACCTTGCGGATGACTTATTTCACTCCGCACGCGAGGCATCCTTTCGATGCGCGTACCTCGATCGCTCCAAGTCGCATTATTTCGCGGTCATTTGTGCGTGTGATTGATTCCATTTCTCTATCCCCGGGTGTAATTAATGTCAAATTAAATCAAAACTATTCACTTAATCGGCGATTTTAAATCTGATTGTTCATTGAAAATAAGATTAAAAGTTATACGATTACAAAATCTAGGATGATAATTGCGAGTACTGCTGGGTTCAGATTTTTGAGAGATAAAAGTTAGACTATTGTTCGTTCTGGGTTAATATTCATTTTATACTTTTAAGCTTATTTTTCGAGCTATAAATGCAAACACTCAGAAATATTTTGCTTCTACTCTAGTACTTTTTTATTTTAAGCCGATGTAAATCCATTCAATTTAATACAAATTTTTAATTTGATTTAATAATAATTTTTTTATATGCATAATATAGGAATAATTTACTTTCAAAGTCTCAAACGCTTTTAATTTTTATAATTTTATTGTTTTATTTTTTGTAAAATTAATTAAGTTTATTCCTAAATATCTATTTCGCTGTAGATTTAATATGCGATACTTTCAATGCTACGTTTAATGCGTTTAGGCGTTAAATTCTAATTGTTCATTATTCTCTTAGGGTCTTGAACCTAAATCCTGCGCTTAAAAGTTGCCAAAATTAAGCAAATATTGGTATAGCCTCTTACGTTTCCAAAATGGAAGCCACCTTTTTGCATTAATTGAAATTTGCATAGAAAATTAAGTTCTTATTAATTATATAAGAAAACGTTGAAATTGCTACATAAGTCGGACCTTGCATTGGCTATAAGCTATTATTTTTCTTAAATTTTTGCCACCCCATGAACCATGAAAAGAGTTTTTTATCCACCACAGAATCTAACAAAAAGAGTAATTCATCAGTCCTCATAAAATCTTATCAGATAAAATTTTTAGATTTATTACTGCAAACATCTTTGATATGCAAAAACATTCGTTAAAAGCAATATAAAATCCAAAAGGTTTTATGGGAATAGTATCGAATTATTTGGAAATGCTGTAAAATTATTAACTGCTGGTTTTAAATTATGTTGGAATTTTGTTGAATTCACAACGAGGCGAGCACGTGTAAAGACGCTTTTTATCAAAAAGCTCATTGGCCCACGTTGCGTGTGTTAGGTAATGAGATGTGAAAAGGTACGGCGTGTGTTATTCAGTTCAGGGGGCGAAAAATCGGACAGATTCACGAGAATCAGCTCACTGATAGTGAAGTGCGTGAGTGATAAATGGGTCCTTAAAGTGGCAATTAATGAGCGGCAGAGATTACGGCACCTTTGGAATGAATCGAAGGCATCGTTGCACTTGAGATGTCGTTATTTATTCAAACAGAGCAGCCGATAATAATATGAAGGCGAGTCTTGCACTTCTTGTCTCCAACCGGACGTTTTGTTCAAAATTATATTATGTTAATAAATGATTTAACGATGATTTCAATACAGATAAAAATGAATTTTAACTTAAATGATTAAATTAAATTTTTTGCTTGGTCTGATTTTATTTTTTAAAATATATAGATTTTCCATTAATTTATCAAAATTTTGCATTGTGTGCACAATTTAATTTAAAATTTAATAACATTGATTAATTTTTGTAGTCGAGTTAACATTTTTTGTTATTTTCTTGAACCTCTAACTCTAAAGTAAAAAAATTGAACACACCCATCGTTTCATTTCCTTGCAATTTTATCACATTTTTCACAGAGATATGAGAGTCTCCACGCTGCTTTGCATGTGATTAATTCTTTGCAGTCTGTAATATTTTTTTATAACTTTCTTCCAGAAATTATAACAGTATAATCGTGACTAATCGTTTCAACAAAGCAGCTGCAAAAAACAAGGTTGACACGCATATTATTTGAATAATGTTTTTCTCATATGTTGCTGATTGTAGCAAATTGTGTGCATTGAAATAATACACGTATGCGTCAAGTGACACGATTGCGATTATAATTGCTGCTCGTCGCTTATTAATGATACGTGACGATATGGAAAGCAATAATTATTTGTTCAGTGTCCTAGGTCGACGTTTCTTTATCAGTTTCGTCGCAAGATGCATCTTCGACACTGCACATAATTTTTAATTAAATTTTTATCCGCCAATAAAACCCAAAGTTCAAGTGGTGTTGCGTAAATTAATGAAAATCGCAAATCTCTGCACGACTTATTGTTAATCATTCAACTTGATTTTTTTTTTTAAATTTTAACATGGACTTACCAGTTTTTCGGGCCTCCTGAGCGTCTGCGGAGGTCCTGGGCGATTCATATCGTCGGTCAAGTGAGGTTTGAGCCCAGTGCTGATACTGTTGATGCTGATGATGATTTGTTCGCCCACCGTATCCATAGTGTCTCAATAAACGCGATTGTGCAAATGGAAGACTGTGCACGGTGTCTATAATTAATTGGCCGCCCCTCGCCGTGCCCTTTGCAGAATGCACCAGTCACCAATCGAGGGGAAAATCATTCAACCCGTGCGTTACTAAAACATTCGATGAATGCACGCCAATTTAAAAGGGGGTTGATCGTTTTTTTTGCACTGATTTTTTGTGTAAATTTTAATTGTTAATATTTTATCATGAAAATAATTTTGCGGTGGAAATTTTATTTTTACAACACTTATAAATTGAAAAAGAATCAGGTAATTTTCTAAAGAATTTTTACTTTTTTATTTATAATTTTTGCTTTTAATTCCAAGGGTCAGTTTGGGTGATAAGAGATTTTCTTCAACTAGCATTGTAACGTGACCCCTGCGGCTATCAACAGTCTCTCTATTTATATTTACACTTTCGTAACATTGTTTGCAATGAGTAATATTATTGTGGTGAACAAATTAGCCCAAATTTTAAAGTTGCATAAGAAAATATATCAATTTTTTTACCAGTTTTAGAATAATTTTTAACTCTGAACTCCTTTTTTTAATAAACCTCGCTTTTTTTAATAAAATTTTTATTTGGTTTAATTTTCAAATTTTTTCACGTGTGAGCCCATGTCATCTCTCGTCTCTCAGGCTAAAATTTTCAGTTATTATTTGATTACGGTTGGGAATTTGATGACAATAGGCCGCGGTCTCTCGATGTTATATCGCACGACAATTTGAAAAGGATCCTGTGAGAGCATAATGTGTCTGGTCTGGCAGAGCTCTTTGTCAGCAGTCGAGGGAATTAATAACCTTTGGGCGGATAGCCAAAGGAGAAAATTGTGATTATGTAACTCCATTGTGCAGCAATAATTTGCATTTCGCCTTGAATTTTTTAAACTGAAGATTGAAAGTGAAATAATTTTATTTAAGTGCGATTAAAAAAAGGATAACGAAAGTGCAAAGAAAGTGAAAATTTTCGTGCGTGCACAGAGGGGCATCACTCTCGATTTCTAACTCGCAGAAGTATTGTTGCTGTTTTTTGTTGTCAACCTTCCGCTTGTGCCAGGCTGCGACCGATAAAGATAGGCGGTTCATTTTCACCTCAACCGGAGCGTGAACACTTTTTTGTGCCGCTTTCGGTTATAGCTTCACTAATCGCGTTGCGCTTCATTATTGTTGATTACTGTAAGATATTCTGATAGGAAGTGCTCAAAGTTCACCAATACTTGAATTTATGCAGCTATTTTTTATTTTCTAGAATTGTTTATGGTCATTAAAATATCACTGGGTGTTCTATCATCAAAATAATACATCATGCACGCGTAAATTAAAAGTGAACAATTAAACATGAGAGATAATAAAAAGAAGTTTGAAAATTTTTAAAGAGGAAAAATTTAAGTTTGTATAAACATCACTTATACTATTTAGCTGAAATTTTGAATTTTATGATAAATTAGAGCCGAATAAAAATTATGAAAAATGAGTTTAACTTTTCTTAAATTCAAGATCAAATGAACTGAAACTGAAAATGATCATTTTTATTGAAACGACCAACTAAGTAATATAATAAATAATTTTTTTTCTTAAATCTACAAAAAATATAATTTCAGTTTAAATTAAATAATAACATTTTTTCTAAAGAATAAATTTTTAATTAAAAAAAGCGGCTACTGCCTGATTTAGTATCAACCTGCCTCTCTCTGTCCTAAATTTCCAATTCACCCCCTCTTCGCCCTTTTCCAATTCTCTCTAATCCAATCAATTATTCCATTTGAGCGCTCAAATCGAAATTATCGTGTTGCAGCTGCGGCCAGGACGCTGAGGATTCTGCTCAGTTTCGCGGTCGGCGGCCTCTTAGGCAATGTCTTCTTCCACCTGTTGCCTGAGGCCTGGGCGACTGAACAGATCGCCTACCTCGCCAAAAACCCAGGTACGTATGCCAAGATGTAAAAATCATAAATTAGCTAGCACGGCTGAAAATAAGATGAAATAAATTGCCTCTTATCTTTTCGAACCAGGCTTTTCTCGAGTGGAATCAATTTTCCAGTAGAAAGAATCCTCTTGTAGAAAATTATTGCGCAGCCATCAGAGTGCGATTGAATCCACTCGACTCTAGTTTTTCTATAAAATATGGAAATGATATTTCACGTCGGCAAAACATCCATTTTAATTGAAAAAAGCCACATATTTATGATTTAAACAATTAGTTGAATTAATATTTATTAAAATTCTAGATTTAATTAATTTGTTGAAAATCTCTAAGATCGGATATTTTGATTATTTAAGCTTCACAATATAATAATATAATAATAATATTACCTTGATTAAATTTTTTTTATTACATGACTAATTAAATTTTCTAGATTTCTTTAAACAATTGCTGCATATCATATTTGGATAAAATTTAAAATAAGGTTTTTCCCCAAGTTTTTTTTATTATTTTTCTGTTGAAACAAAAATAATTTTGGACAAATAATTTTTAGGCGAAACAATTCAGGCGAGGACGAGCATGAGCACGGGAATGTGGGTGTTGGCTGGAATTCTATCCTTCACTGTGCTGGAGATGGCCCTGCCGGACCATGACGACTCGTCGGACGAGCAGGAGCACGAGAAGTCGCACAAGTTGCACCAGGAAAAGAATTGCGAGGAGCGCAACGGCAACTACATCTCCAGCATGGCAGTGCTCAGCGAGAAGCACCTCACCGAGGTCAACAAACACAAAAACAACAACAAACCTCCTGAAAAGAGGGTCAGTTGAAAATAATAAAAAATTTCATTTAATCATATGATTGAAATCTGCAGGTGCAGGTTTCAGGGTACCTGAACCTGATGGCCAACAGCATCGACAACTTCATGCACGGCCTGGCCATCGGCGGCGGATTCCTCGTTAGTTTTAAAATGGGGGTTTTGACCACCCTGGCCATTCTGGTGCACGAGGTGCCGCATGAAATTGGGGACTTTGCCATCCTGCTCAGGTCGGGCTTTACCAGGTGGGAGGCCGCCAGGGCGCAGGTCTGCACTGCCGGCTCAGGTCTGCTAGGCGCCCTTTCTGCCAACATCTTCAGTATGGCTACGTTTGGTAAGCTGAAAATGAAAACGATTAAATGTGAAAGGATTTCTCCAAAAAATTTATAGATGTAGAATTTCTGCATAATTTTGGATTTCAGAATTTAAAATGAAATAAGCAAAGTAAAATTTGGAATTTTAAATTTAAATGAGATAAATAAAGCACTTGCTAAGATATAAATTAATTTTCAGTTCTTAAATAAATTATAATTATTTGATTATAAATTTTACATTAAATTTTTTTTTCAACATTTCAAGTTATATTTTGGTGGTTATTTACTTGATTTAAAATTTTTTAACATTAATTTTAAAGTGTAAAATTTGTATTTAATAATTTTCTGTTGAATTAAATCAAAGTTATCATACGTATAATTGGCTTAAAATTTTACTAAAAAATTTAAACATATTTTTATTATTATTATTTTGTTTTTGCAGAGGAAAAGACCTCATGGGTAGTGCCATTCACTGCAGGCGGGTTCCTGCACATCGCACTTGTGACCGTCCTGCCCGAACTGATCGCCGAGCGGGACAAGTGGGAGTCAGCAAAGCAAATTGCCAGTCTCGTCAGCGGGGTGGCGCTCATTGCACTGCTCACGCAAACCTTCGACTAATTCCGGCACCGATCGAAGGGCACTCAATTGTTTGGCCCATTGTTGCCCCGGCGCCGATTTGTTATGTTTTGTTCTCACACGCCACGCGGTTGCGTCTTTTTGGTGGAAATGTATCAAAAAAATTTGTGATCCAAGTTTAAAATCAGGTTATTGTTCCGCTCTCAAGCCATGGTGAGTTTAAAAATAAACTCTGCGAGTTTTGAATTATCAAACTTGATTAGTCGAAGTTTTGAGAGAGCAAAGTATTTTGCTATAAAATTAAAGTTTTTTATTTGTGCCAAACTGCCAAAGTTTCTGTATTTTTTTCTCTTCGTAGTGAGAAAATTTTAAAATGACCTATATACGGCATTTTTGATAAGTCTATAATTGTAAGAAATGTGTTGACTTTTCCCATCTCGACCACTTCATAACATTGAATCGGAACAGGCAGAGAATTTTGTGCCTAATTTGTGTATAAAAACAAGTAATTGAGCTAAATTGTGATAATTAGCACTGTTTGTTTGTAGGTAGATTAGTGTGAAGTGCATAATATATATCAAGAGTCAGTATTTTACCGTAAAAGTTCATTGTTATTTGTTGATAATTATGCTAAAATTTTTGGTAAAAAATTATTAAATTGAATTTTATCATGAAAGCTGATTTTATTTGCTAAGGAAAAAAAGATATGATTTATGGATCTCATGTGCATGTTGGAACTGAATAAAATTTTGCTGTCTCTTCTGCGCCTTACCACTTACAACCCAAAAACCACAAAAATAATCAAAAATAAAAGTAAAAATTATAACTCATTTGCAAATGATCGCAGCATTTAGAGAAAGTAGCTCCACTGGAAGCGGCTTCCTCGGCCTCTTGTTTGACTTCAAACTTGGCTGTGAGGATGTGCAATAAAGGGCAGGAAGCTATAAGTGTCAGCATCATCCACAGGGGTCACGCGCACATTTTGCCAACGCCAAACTCGCCCTCGTACATGGGACAGGCTTCTACGGTTTCATCCCTGGGAAACTCAAATCTTCAGCCTGTCATCATTCTTCAGGTAAATTGAATATTGAATAAAAAAGTTTCATATCAATAGTTTTCATATCAGGTGCACATATGAGCACCTAAAATGAGCACCTCATATCAGGTGCACATATGAGCACCTAAAATGAGCACCTCATATCAGGTGAACATATGAGCACCTCATATCAGGTGCACATATGAGCACCTAAAATGAGCACCTCATATCAGGTGCACATATGAGCACCTAATATGAGCACCTAAAATGAGCACCTCATATCAGCTGCACATATGAGCACCTAAAATGAGCACCTCATATCAGCTGCACATATGAGCACCTAAAATGAGCACCTCATATCAGGTGCACATATGAGCTGCTAAAATGAGCACCTAAAATGAGCACATCATATCAGGTGCACATATGAGCACCTAAAATGAGCACATCATATCAGGTGCACATATGAGCACCTAAAATGAGCACCTCATATCAGGTGCACATATGAGCACCTAAAATGAGCACCTCATATCAGCTGCACATATGAGCACCTAAAATGAGCACCTCATATCAGCTGCACATATGAGCACCTAAAATGAGCACCTCATATCAGCTGCACATATGAGCACCTAAAATGAGCACCTCATATCAGGTGCACATATGAGCACCTAAAATGAGCACCTAAAATGAGCACATCATATCAGGTGCACATATGAGCACCTAAAATGAGCACCTCATATCAGGTGCACATATGAGCACCTAAAATGAGCACCTCATATCAGGTGCACATATGAGCACCTAAAATGAGCACCTCATATCAGGTGCACATATGAGCACCTAAAATGAGCACCTCATATCAGCTGCACATATGAGCACCTAAAATGAGCACCTCATATCAGGTGCACATATGAGCACCTAAAATGAGCACCTAAAATGAGCACATCATATCAGGTGCACATATGAGCACCTCATATCAGGTGCACATATGAGCACCTAAAATGAGCACCTCATATCAGGTGCACATATGAGCACCTAAAATGAGCACCTAAAATGAGCACATCATATCAGGTGCACATATGAGCACCTAAAATGAGCACATCATATCAGGTGCACATATGAGCACCTAAAATGAGCACCTCATATCAGGTGCACATATGAGCACCTAAAATGAGCACCTCATATCAGGTGCACATATGAGCACCTAAAATGAGCACCTCATATCAGGTGCACATATGAGCACCTAAAATGAGCACATCATATCAGGTGCACATATGAGCACCTAAAATGAGCACATCATATCAGGTGCACATATGAGCACCTAAAATGAGCACCTCATATCAGGTGCACATATGAGCACCTAAAATGAGCACCTCATATCAGGTGCACATATGAGCACCTAAAATGAGCACCTCATATCAGGTGCACATATGAGCACCTAAAATGAGCACCTCATATCAGCTGCACATATGAGCACCTAAAATGAGCACCTCATATCAGCTGCACATATGAGCACCTAAAATGAGCACCTCATATCAGCTGCACATATGAGCACCTAAAATGAGCACCTCATATCAGGTGCACATATGAGCACCTAAAATGAGCACCTAAAATGAGCACATCATATCAGGTGCACATATGAGCACCTAAAATGAGCACCTCATATCAGGTGCACATATGAGCACCTAAAATGAGCACCTCATATCAGGTGCACATATGAGCACCTAAAATGAGCACCTCATATCAGCTGCACATATGAGCACCTAAAATGAGCACCTCATATCAGGTGCACATATGAGCACCTAAAATGAGCACCTCATATCAGGTGCACATATGAGCACCTAAAATGAGCACCTAAAATGAGCACATCATATCAGGTGCACATATGAGCACCTAAAATGAGCACATCATATCAGGTGCACATATGAGCACCTAAAATGAGCACCTCATATCAGGTGCACATATGAGCACCTAAAATGAGCACCTCATATCAGGTGCACATATCAGCACCTAAAATGAGCACCTCATATCAGGTGCACATATCAGCACTTAAAATGAGCACCTCATATCAGGTGCACATATGAGCACATCATATAAGCTACACATATGAGCACGTAAGGGAAAGACGAGCTTTGAACTTGTCGAAACAATTTTTCATGAAAAAACTCATCATGAAAAATATTTCTTTTTTTAATAAATCTATCCATCTTTCATGTTTTGTTCAGCTTATATCAGGTGCTCATTTGAGGTGCTCCAGGACAGTGGTCAAAATTTTATCCCTTTGGATTTATCCTGGGATATCTTTTATCCCGGGGTTTATTGAATCTCCCTTATTTTAAAGAATAAAATGGAGTAGAAGAGAATTTGGACCAAAATACTACTCCATGAAAAAGATTACTTGAAAATTGTAACTGAAATGGAGCCTAAAAAGTGGTATTTTTTTTTCTTCAGCAATATTCTAGAAAGAAATATTTACAATTTCTTTTATAAAAATTATCCAGTTATTTGAAGAAGAAAAAATACAAAAAATAAAATGCACCTTAGTAAAATATTTCACCATTTTATTTAACAAAGGTAGCCTTTGTGAGTACAAGTGGCCGATCGTACTTTGTCGTGGCCTCAACATTTGGCGTCCAGATCTTTGATGAGGGTGGCTCGGTTATTTTATTTTCATATGACATTTCAAAAAGCCCTGTCAGCGCCTTTGACACCGACGCCAGCAGCGCGCCGTATGCCGTAGGGATCGCAAAATTATCCACTCGACCAGACACTGCTTCAATATGTGTTGGTAATGTAAAAAAATTAATCATTTTCGAGGTTGAATAATAATAATTTTATAAAAAGGAGCCAGCAGTGGCGGAATTTTGGTTCTGAGTGCCATGGGCTTGGACATTTCCTTCAGTTCCATGTCTCGAAATCACGACTACAGCGTCACTTGCCTTGCCGGACTGGACAGGACTCTTATTTCCGGAGACACGTCAGGAACAGTCATGTCTTGGAAAATCGACAACAATGAGAAATTAAACCGCACCTCTTTCATCAGAGGGCCAAAGTATGTACTTTTTTTAATATCAATTTAAAATTCTGAAAAATTCTAAAAAATAATTTCTTGTATTCAAGTTGGAGCTGCACCTGCTTGTGTGCGTATTATGATCTCGCTGGCAAAGCGATGGCCGTGGCCGCCTTCGGAAGTGGCCACCTTCGCATATACGAGGCGGCCACCTTGGCTCTTAGAGCAGAGGTGGCCGCTCACTCTCGATGGATCACCGGTCTAGACGTCGCGCCTGAAACTCGCATGCTCATTTCTTGCAGCGAAGATTCCATTTTTACAATCTGGCAGCTCAATCCAGACGAATGCACTCCAGTAAGAAAGAGTTTGATTCAAATTTATTTTTATATATTTGTATTTTTTTTTTTTTTAGATTGACTACGTTTGCAGTTCTTCAGTGGCAAACCACAAATTGTTAGGCGCAAGATTTCTTAACTCCCATGGGACGTCTTTGTGCCTCAGCTCATTTGAAAGCAACTTCATCCATTGTTTTAATTTGACGGACTAGATAAAAAATATAAATATCAATGAATCAGGCTTGTATAGTCTTTTTATTTTCTTTTTTATTTAAATTCCATATTATAATTCAATATTATAAAGAATACCCAAACGCTATATAGTTTTATTTAATATAAATCATATTAAAATTACGAAGTAAAATTATCATTGGTTGTTTTTTTTTCATTCATAAAATGAAAACCGCATTTTTATAAACCAAATCTTAGGTTTTAGTGAGAAACACCGAATAAAGTAAAAAGAAGCAAATGACCTAATGGAAGGCTGTATTTTTCTTACTCTTGTAGTTTTTTCAGATGAATACTTCAAATAAAAATAAAATTATTTAGAAAATTTGGACCGCGACTCAAAATTGCCTATGAATGAAGAAGAAAAAAAAGTAGCCCCAAAAGGCTCGCTGGTACTCTATATTTAAAAGCCTAGGAATTATTGTGCCTTAGTTTATGATAGACCGTCACCCTTAGAAAGTGCGCTTGAGTCTTCTTTTTTTTCCCATTTGTCAACAAGGTTATTCTGCGCTTCCTATTTTACATTAAATCTAAATTTTAAGCTTTCAAATTTAGTTGGATAAAAATACTATCGTCACAAAAACAAATAATACCAAAACAGGTGAAGTCAATTAATTTCGAATAGCTGAAAGTAGATTTGATAAGCAGAAATAAACAATAGATTTTGATGTAGAAAAATCCACGTAAGAGATTATATGTATTGATAAAAATGTTAAAAATCCATGCAAACAGACTCATATCTCTTAGTGCTCGTGAGATTTCGCATAAAGATGAAGGTAGCAGGTAAGATTTCAAAAACCCCATTTATTTCTAAAAAAACTGCACCAAAATTTTCCGCTAAATAAGGTTTTTTGGTGGTCTTCCTTGTGAGTCTCGCAAGGGGTCAGGGGCCTCTGGTGACCCTTCCTGGTCTGGGCACATTGGAGGGCTTTACTGGAGGGTCGTTCATCTCCGACAGATTGTTTTACCGCTTCAGAGGAATTCCGTTCGCTAAACCACCCGTTGGCAATTTGCGCTTCAAGGTTGATTTTTTAAATGAATGGAAATAATTAAAAAAGAAATTTAAATTGTCAGCCGCCGCAACCCGTGGAGCCGTGGACCGGAATTTTAGACGCGCACAGCAGCTTTGGGAATGGGTGTCCGCAGGGTTCTGGGGGGCGAACTTGGCAAGGGGTTCTTGAGAACTACGTGGAGAATGACTTTAACAAGGCGCTGGAACCTGAAGACTGTTTGTACATCCAGGTTTACTCGCCAAACGTGAGTAAAAAATTTCCAAGAACAAAGAAAGTTTAAATTTGATTTAATTGTCAAATTTGCCAACAGATCGATCCAACGGCCAACCTTCCTGTTGTGGTTTTCATCCACGGCGGGGCTTTCAACACTGGTTCCTCTCGTCTGTACGGAGGCAATAAATTCATGGACCACGACGTCGTCCTTGTAGTTCCTCACTACAGACTTGGACCCCTGGGTAAAAATTAAAAAAAAAAGCAAAATAAAAATTAAATTAATTTTGGCATTGCAAAGGATTTTTTTCTCTGCACACGGATGAGATTCCCGGAAACGCAGGCATGCTTGATCAGGTTGAGGCACTGAAATGGGTGCAGAAATACATTTCCTATTTTGGTGGCAACCCCAACAAAGTGACCGTCATGGGCGAAAGCGCCGGAGGTGTCAGCACCTCCCTTTTGAACCTCAGCCCGCTCTCAACAAGTAATTTCAGACAATTTACTTTTATTTAAAAATTTTTTTTTCTTTCATTTTATTACAAATATTTTTCTTAGATCTGTTCCAACAGTACATTACTCAAAGTGGAACCGCCCTGACGACCTGGGGCATCGACCCTGACCCGATCCGCTCGGCCACTGAAATCGCTTTCCTCGCCAATTGTACCAACCCTGAAATCAACGCCCTGACTCAGTGCCTAATGACGGTTGAACCGTCAGTAATCTCTGGAGCTTACATGGATTATTTGGTAAACTTATTCAAACAAATCCTAATTTCTTAAGAGATTCTTTTTATTTAAATATTAGACCTATGAAGTTAAACAAGGTCGTTCTGGAATTGGAGGCAGTGCTCCTGTGGTGCAAAGGGCCGGTTCGGTCAAATTTTTGGAAAAATCGCCCAAAGAAATTTTCAGATCTGGCGAGTACAACGCAAAACCGGCCATTTTCGGTGCCAACAAGCATGAGGGCACAATGCCCTATTTTTGTAATTTTGTTTTAATTTTAAAATTTAGTTAAATTAAAATTTTTGAGATTACAGACATGCACGCTTACTATATGAAGCCTAACAACTTGATCGATGACGTGGAGTTCCTCTCCAGAGGAGTCACCAGACTGTTTTTCGGTTTTCTTGGTACACATCAAGATAATGAATTTTTGATTATTTATCATAAACATTCAATTTTAGGTGTTTTTACTGACCAAGGTGACACTTTGGCTCTAGCTACGGAAAATACTTATTTGGGCGCTCAAAATATGGGAAATCTTAACCTTATTACTCCAGGACTTATCGACGTAATGTTTAAAAGTTGCTCTCTTGAATTTTTAATCTAATCATTAAACGTCTAGCTCTCCTCAAACATGTACATCAAAGGCTCGACCATTGAAAACGCCGAGTTTAATGCAGCTAAAGGTGCTCCAACTTATCTCTACAGTTTCCACTTTGACGGCTCAAGATCGTTATACCCACTTTTTGCTCCCTTCTCTCCAATTCCAGGCGGTACTTCATTTTATTATGAACAAAATTAAAAAAAAAATTGATAATAAATTCACGTTGTCTGTGATATAATTTCACGTGGCTGCTTTAGGTGTTTGTCACGGTAATGAGATGATTCTACAATTCTCAATTCCCACATACGGTACCAACGCTCAAGATGATGTAGTATCCAATCAGATGCTAACCCTTTGGGCTAATTTCATCAAATATGGGTGAAATATTTTTTTTTATCAATTATTAGAAAAAAAATATATTATGAAATTTATCAAGGGACCCTACGCCTGTTTCAAGCCCTGTGGAAGGAATTCCGACCTGGCCGAGACTAGAAAACCGCGATGGTTCTTATTTGGTCATAAACTCTACCTCCTCAATTCTCCAGGACTACACAAGAGTTGAATATTTCGTCTCAATCGACGAGAACTTCCCTAACAACGTGTAATAAAAATATGAATTTTTATAGCAAATGGTTGTAAATTTTCATTTTTATTATTAATAAAGCTTAATAAATTGAAATGAATTTTCATATCAATATAATGCGCGTTTTTTTATTATGAAAACATAAATCACTAGAAACTAAAAAAAAAATGGATTTAATTAAATTCTTATTTTATATCGCTGGAAAAACGAATAATTTCCATACCACTCTCTAGTCAGAAATAATGAATTGATCTTTGTGCGAGTTCGGGCCTTCGTTTAGTTGGAAAAGCCCCTAATTTACAAGGCAATAGATAGACAACCTGCTTGGCAAGTGAGCACAGCAAATTGCCTATCCTGATTTTTGTAGGCGCTCCTAACTTGCAATCTGTTTAGATTACACGATCAGAAGACGTTCAATGAAAAAACCCAAACTGATAAGGTAAAAAATTATAAATTAAAAGGAATGAAGTTTGCAATTGCTTATAAGCAGTTCAAAATTTTATTTAGGTACTCAAGAAGATAATGCTTATAAAAAAGAGATACGCTTTTGTTCAAAACTGTTTTGGTCTGTTCTAAGCGTTGAACCCAATTAATGATTAAGGTGATAAAAGTTCATATAAAAGACGCAGATCTCGTGATTTACTTAAGAGAGATTGCTCCAGTGCATAAAGATGAAGGCTGAGGGTAAGATGCTTTGAGAATCCAGAAATCTTTGAAATCCTGCACAGTTAAATTTTCATAAGGTGTTTTTTTGGTCGCTCTTGTGGGGCTCGTAAGCGGCCAGAGACCTCAAGTGACCCTTCCTGATTTGGGCACCATGGAGGGCTACTTTGGAGAATCTTTCATCTCAAACAGATCGTTTTACCATTTTAAAGGAATTCCATTCGCTAAACCACCCATCGGAAATTTGCGTTTCCAGGTTTTTAATTTTAAAATTAAATTGAACAAATCAAATAAGATTGAATTGTCAGCCCCCGCAACCTGTAGAGCCGTGGACTGGAATCTTAGATGCTCACAGTAATATTGGAAATGAGTGCCCACAATCTTTTTCAGTGCTCAATTGGCAAGGGGCTCTCCAAAGCCGTGCGGACGACGATGACCTGAACAAGGCCAAAGAACCTGAAGACTGCCTTTACATTCAGGTTTACTCGCCAAACGTGAGTAAAAACATGTTACGAGAGAACAAAAAGCTTATTTGATTTAATTGCCAAATTCGTCGTCAGATTGACCCGACGGCCAACCTTCCTGTTGTGGTCTTTATTCACGGAGGAGCTTTCTTTTCCGGTTCCTCTCGAATTTACGGCGGAAATAAATTCATGGATCACGACGTCGTCCTTGTAGTTCCCCACTATAGACTTGGACCCTTAGGTAGAATATTCATTCAATGCTTTTTCAAATTTTTAAATTTTGCTACAATTCCCGAATTTCATAAGATTTTTGTTAATTCAAAATCCTTGCTTTTTATTAAAATTTGTTACCAGTTTTACAACTTTTTTCTTATGATAATTTTTTATTTCCATATTATGATGTTACTCTATATGAATTTGGATCGCCTTATTTTCAGGTAAAATAATCAAATTAAAATTAAAACTTTTATTTTAGGGTTCCTCTCTCTTCAAACGGATGAGATTCCCGGAAACGCAGGCATGCTCGATCAGGTCGAGGCACTGAAATGGATACAGAAATACATTTCCTTTTTCGGCGGCAACCCGAATCAAGTGACCGTCATGGGCGAAAGCGCCGGAGCCGTTAGCGCTTCACTTTTGAACGTCAGCCCTCTCTCCACAAGTATGGCTGTATTATATTTAAAAAAATTTGAATCGATTTAAAAAGGAAATAACTTTGAAAAATTACAGTTTACCGAATGATTATTTTAAATCCTTAAAACTTATCCCCATTCGAACTTCTCAACTGGGGATTTTTTTACCCACTTTTAATATTTTTATATTTTATATTTTTTGCAGATCTCTTTCAGCAGTACATTACTCAAAGTGGAACGGCCCTGGCCTCCTGGGGCATTGACCCTGACCCGGTAACCGCGGCCATCGACGTCGCCTTCCGAGCCAATTGTACCAATTCTGAAATCACCGCCCTGACTCAGTGTCTGATGACGGTTGAACCTTCAGAGCTGAATGCAGCTTACATGGAATATTTGGTACAAACATATTCAGCGGTTTAAAGCGAAAAATCTAACAGTTAAAAATCTAATTTAGACTGCCGAAACCAGACAAGGTCGTTCGGGCATAGGAGGTAGTGCACCGGTGGTGCAGAAGGCCGGTTCCGTAAGATTTTTAGAAAAATCACCCCACGAAATCTTTGCATCTGGCGATTACAACGGAAAACCGGCAATTTTCGGTGCCAACAAGCATGAAGGCACTCAGCCCTACTTTTGTAAGATGCAACTTTATTGTTGGCAGATTCGCATAATTCAAACTATCTATACAATTTTAGTCCTGCACACTTTTTATCTGGCACCAAGGAACCTGACCGAAGATGTAGAATTCCTCTCAAGAGGAGTGACCAGACTTTTTTTAAATTTCCATGGTGAGGAAGGAACATTTTAAAATTTCATTAGCACAAAAAAATAAACTTTATCAACTAAGGTGTCGGCACCGACCAAGGTGATACTTTGGCGATCGCCACGGAAAACACTTATTACGGCGTGAATAATATGGGAAATCTTACGCTTCTCTGGCCAGGAATAATCGATGTAATTATTATCAAAAAACATTGCAATTTTAATCTAATCTTGAAACTCTTAAGTTTTCTTCGAACATGCAAATTAAAGGCCCCACATTTGGGAATGCCGAGTTTAATATAGCAAAAGGTGCTCCAACTTATCTGTACAGTTTCCACTTTGACGGCTCAAGATCGCTGTACCCAATTACAGCACCGTTTTCTCCGATCCCAGGAGGTAATCAAAAGATTATTATTGCACTGAAAAAAGTAAACAACTTATCTTATTACAAATAATCTGCGCAGGGGTTTGCCATGGTAATGAGATGATTCTACAATTCTCAATTCCCACGTTCGGGACCAACACTGAAGATGAAGTGGTATCCAACCAGTTGCTAACCCTTTGGGCCAACTTCATCACTTATGGGTATAAACAGATTTAAATGAATAATTTAAAAAAAAATATTATGAAATTCATCCAGGGATCCTACACCTGTATCGAGCCCTGTGGAAGGAATTCCGACATGGCCGAGACTAGAGAGCCGCGACGGTTCTTATTTGGTCATAAACTCTACCTCCTCAATTCTCCAAGACTACACAAGGGTGGAATATTTTGTCTCAATAAACGAGAACTTCCCTAACAATATTATGAATTAATGATAAGGCTGATTAAATTAAAAAGGTCAAGTAAGTCCAAATGTAAATATAATTGAATTTCATCATCTAAAATACGATGGAATTTATAAAATGATTAGGAAAAGAATAAAAATTAAAGAAAAATATTTAAAAAATTATTACTATTAAAAAAATAAAAAAAACCTATTCTAATTTATAATCTAAATTTCACTGAAAAGCGCGAATTGCCCCTCAAATCACAGATCGTAGACAACCTGCTTGACAACAAAGACAGTAAAATTGCCTATGCAATATTTCGTAGGCGCTATCTGATATAAGCTGATATGCTTAATTAAGAGATTGTACGACTGTAAAAATTAAATATAATTGTAGCTTTCCATAAAATCAGTTTTTTATGTTTCGTCTGCCTTCATTTAATTTAAATGTATAATAAAATAATAATATATTGACTCTGCAATGAAATTAATCTAATTATTTGCAGCACACTGGACATAATTCTTTATAAAAATGTTTATTGAAATTTTATTTAAATCAAGTTTCACGCCTCATAACAATCGGAGCAAATTTTGATTGTTGCCGAACACACTGCAATTTTTCTTCAACTTCCCAATGAGAGAGCTCAAACAACAATCAAAGTATGTTTCATTGTTACGATGCGTGAACCTTAACTTAAATTGTTTCATTGTGTTTTCCGTTTTTTTTCTCTTGTCTTTTCTTTGAAGTTTTTCTGACAATGAGATTTTTTTATGTAAAAAAAAGATTTCCAATTTAATGTACATTTTTGTAGTATATTGAAAAGCATGATCATTTCCATTGGTAATTTATCTTCACATGAATACATTTTTTGTGATGTTTCTGGATATTCATTAAAACACTGGTGACTGGTGACCATGGCATAATTATTCCACCTGTACGTCATCAGTGTTCACGAGTATTTGGAGTATTAAAAATTGATATGAAAATATTTATTTTTACAGCTACAATTATTTGCTTTATTATTGTCTTTATTAAACAAAAATGTGTACAACGTCATGTATTGCTGGTTGAAATCAATAATATAACTAAATTTTTAAATACAATTGAATACAATATTATGATGTATTGTATCTTTATCTAGTGTAGCATATTTTGTTAGAGACTTTACTCTTTTTGAACAATTAATTCAATTAATTATTGATTTCAACCAGCGATACATGACGTTGTACACATTCGTGTTTAATAAAGACATAAAAATAATACACTATATTTTGCATACTAATTTTTCTTTATAGAACTTTTTGAAATTTAGAAATATATATGTGGCATTATTATTTCGATTCCCGAGATCTCCTTGCCTAATTTGCTTACTTCTGCAGAGTGAGACTCCCGGTCCTGGACCTGCTATTTGGGATGAACGAACCTTTATACAAATGAATGAATCATTCAGCACACGAGCGCAGTTAACGATGACGTACGTGCCACCTGCCGTCAGAAAAGCGAAACTCGGCTGATCAACCAATCACGGCTGCTGAAGGTCGAATCACGTGATCAGCCAATGGGAGCACGAAATAAACAAACCAAGTTGCATTACGAAGCAAAGTGTAACGAAAGAACAGCAGGTGGATTTTGCACGACTCTTTTCACTCTACGGACCTTTTGACCTGCGAACTCGAGAGCCGAATTCCTTCGACGCCGTCGGTGGCCGAGGCGCCCCCGACATGAGCGCAAATGAACGCGCGCTCGCAGATTTTTGAGCTGGTAAGAGACGCAGTTATAGGCAGCATAGCAACACTACGAGCGAAGGCCTTCAAGGCCCCATTTCCACCCGGAACAGTCCCTTCTATTCCTCAGCTGGCCTATTGCACGTTCCGTTCGGATCCCTCGATTGCACCTTAATTAAAATCCGAGTCCAAGTTTTTCCAAAGAAAATTTTAAAAGTAGGACGTGACGAAGAAAAAGAAATCAAAATTTTCTCCTTTTAAATTGCGCAATTTTTCTAGCTTTCATAGATATAAAAAATATATGCAATTAATTAATTTTTTAATTTTGTTTTCCAGAGTGTGGAGGGCAGGCAGGTGGAAGAGGCGGTCGCCAGCATTTTCCACACCGTGCTTTTCCACCGCTCACTCGGCAAGTTCAAGTACAAAGAGGAAGGTTCATACTCGGTGGGCACTCTTGGCTACACCGATGTCGACTGCGATTTCATAGACCTCACCTATGTACGTATTTATCTGAATTCTTCTAATGCGGACAAAATTTACATGGTCAAAGAAAAGTCCTACACAAGCAAAAAATGGAAAGATTAAGTTCACCAATGCTCATTTTTATTGCCCCTGACATTGAGTTCAAGGAGACCTTGGCCCAATTAAAAATTTCAAAGCTAAAATTTCTAATGCAAGCATAATTACCAATCTTTAAAAGTGAATTAAAATTTTAAAACAAAATTTTTTATAATAATAATAATTTTCTTAATAATAATTTAATGCTCAAATAAATTAATATTTTGAATAATTATTTTTCAAATCATAGTTCCAGGCAGAAAAAAAATAATTTCCTTGTTTATAAAATGGAATGGTGAAGTTTAAATTTTCACAGAGGAAGAAATTATATGAAAAATGTTTAAAGATAAATTGATTAATTAATGTTTTTATGCCAAAAACTTCCAGAATTGTTTTCCCATAATTATCATAGAGAATGAAAGAAATTTAAAATTGAATCTATCGTTTTAAAATTGATTTTTTTTTGCAGGTGTGCTGCTCATCACACGAGCTGGACCGCAACCTGAAGCGCGAGATCACCAGTTTCTCGGACGCCCTGCGCAGCCACGATGGTCAGCGCTCGGGTCAGATCTCGCTCGAGTTTTTCCAGCGGAAACGCAGCCGCTGGTTGTTCCAGCCTGAGTGCATTCCATGGGAGGTGTGGACGGTGCGGCTGGACCTGCTGGCGCTGCACTCGGAGCACGAACGGCAAGTGTGTCGCGAGCAGGTCGGTGACCTCCTCACTGACAAGATCATGTGCGTCGCTGAGGCCATGAACAGGCACGAGTTCCTCCCAAAGATGCCCACCCAAGCCGAGCTGGATCTTGTCTTTGACACGTCCTACACGGACGTCCAACCGTACCTTTTTAAGGTAATATTAAATCAAAATAATAAGCTAATAATTTAAAAAATTAATTTGATATTTTCGGAAATATTTTGTTTTTATATTTAAAAAAAATATCCTTCTTTGTTTGGACAGATTGGGTTTTCGACGAGCGGTCCAGCCAATGCTTCAGTGAGCTCCACAATGAAGAAGCTGATTAAAGAGACGCTGTCTTTGTGACACTCGGCCTTCAAGTCTTTTGCTTTCCGTGTACGAAAACAGATCTCTCTTGTAAAAATGATCCTGATGACATATAATATTTATTTCTTGTAACGAGATGACGCTGAACATTAAACAAAGAGAATAACATTATTGTTACTTATATATTTTGTTTTTAATTTTCTTCCTGAAAAATGTGGTCATTAGTTATGTGACTTGTGTGTGTGTTTTCCCCTAATATTCTATGATGGCACCACACCTCTGATTTCACCCTACATTGCCCTTCCAACTAATTGAAATAAGTGGCGTAGAGAGAAGTTTTACTATCAAAATGATGAAAGAGAATTTGCATTTTTGGAAATAGTTTTAAAAAGTAACCAGATTTTAAGTCGTTGGTATTTTTTGTAAATATTTTAGATTGTATGCAGTTCCTAAGCTTATAACTCTGTAGATTGACTAGCATTCTATTTTGAAATATGTAAAAAATCTATGTAGTTCTTGAATAAGTCTTCAAGTTCCGCCACTGCAAAGCTGCGGCCGCGTGCGGTCGTTTGCAATAGAATTGATCGGATTATGGCACTTCAGGGGCTTGGAGGCGCTGTCCAGTGTCTGACCGCCAACCAAAGGGCATGCTTCGCCACAGAGAAGTCCGCATCAAAATTCCCCTGCCCAACCTTCAGGGCTGCTGCTTCAACTCGAATCCCTCAGGTGGGTGCTAAATCTTAATTTTGTCACTTACAATTTGTTATTTTTGAAGAAAACAATACATCGCAAGACTATTTTTTTTTTAATTTTTTACATATAAATAAAACTGTCATAGATTTTAGGAAGTTAATTTTGAATAATTTGAAGACATTTTAAAATTATTAACAAATTTAAAAGAAAAATTGCAAAAACTTTCTGCTGCTTTCTGCAACAAAAATAATTTAAAATTCAGCAAGGGCGAGCATTTTTATAATGTAACCGCGACACCAAAGGGTTTCTCAAGGCTCTCTATATTATTTATTGTCTTCCAAATATAGTTTACTTCATATTTTTTCTATAATAAGAAGTTCTTTTGTAATAGGAAGTTTGCAATTTTCAGGTGCTGCTCGCGTTAGGAAAAAATTGGTGATCGTCGGAGACGGCGCCTGCGGAAAAACATGCCTTCTTATAGTTTTTAGCAAAGACCAATTTCCTGAGGTGTACGTCCCAACGGTTTTTGAAAACTACGTTGCGGACATAGAAGTCGATGACACACAGGTAAAATTAAAAAAAAAAATAAATAAAAACTATAAAATGTTGACCGCATACTATGATTTTGAATTTTCTTCAAATATTTAAAAAATATTGATCGATGTGATTTATTTCCTCTTTTACTTCTGTTTTCAGGTGGAATTGGCGTTGTGGGACACAGCAGGGCAGGAAGACTATGACCGGCTGCGACCTCTGTCCTATCCAGACACAGACGTTGTCCTGGTTTGTTTCTCACTCGACTCGCCAGACTCTCTGGAAAACATTGCGGAAAAGTGGACTCCGGAGGTGAAACACTTCTGTCCGAGCGTACCCGTCTTAGTCGTGGGGCTGAAGAAGGACCTCCGAGGTCGGTTGCCAGGGTGCGTGGCCACCGAAGAGGGCCGAGCCATGGCTGACAAGGTGCACGCCTACGCGTACCTCGAATGCTCGGCCAAGAACAAGGAAGGCGTCCAGGAGGTTTTCGAGGCCGCCACAAGGGCAGCCCTGCAGACGCCCCGTCGCCGGCGACCCTTAAGATGCAATTTGCTCTGACCTCCAACACCATTTTTAAAGCTCGCCAATCATGTAATTAATCAAAGCTTTTGTTCTCATTGTATTAATTTTTTTGGAAAATTACCAAATGTGTATTCACAATCAAGAGGCTGATGATCTTAAGTTTTCAGTAGCTGAGGAGTCAATCTGATCCATTTTGAAAAATAAATACATATTATTTAATATAGATTTGGATTTTATACTTGCTGTGTTTTGTTAACAAATTTACCCTCACAATTAAAAGTCGTCCACGTTTGATAATGCAATTTTATTTCTCTCTTGTAAAAATATGCACAATAACCGACAATACCTATTTTTTGGAAACTTTTGAGTAAGCCGAACTGATTCTTGGTTCGAATACAAAATTTTGGACTGGTTTATTAAATTCAGGGAAGGACACAGAACAAACGTTGGCACAACTGGCGCGAATTCTGCCTCTCTAGCTCACATCTTGCGGTCAACGCTCAAAAATTCAGTATCAAATATTTTGTTTATTGCTAGCACAAACTTTCCTTTTTAAAAACGTTAACATACAAAATTGCAACAGCATTGATTTAGCGTACAAAATTTAGAGGAACGATCAGTGTTTGTGTCTTTCAAAGATTAGTACCAAAAACAATCTTCATTAATTTATAATATTCGTCTCGGAAGCAGTTGCTTAAAAACGATCAAAAAATTAGACAAGACGCCAAAATTTGTCTGGCTCTCCCCAGTTTGTATAACAGTGAGTAACATCATCTTTGAAGTCGTTGCTTAGTTTCTATGTGATAAAGATTAATTAGAAGCCTCCCTTTTTTGAGAACAAGCGAACGCAAAAATACTGATTCGACGCACGGAATGTCGCACGACTGGAAACGTTTTTGTACAAAGCGCTTGGCGGATCAGAAATTCAGGTGCTTTATTATTAATAATCATCAACGGGGGAAAGAAAAACTTGTATTATAAAATAACCGGCGTGTTTCAAAACAAAATCAGCTGAGAAATAAATGCATTATTCACAGAAAAAAAGAGACGGGCAAAAGTGGAGGAAATTCGATCCGGGCGGCGCTTTGACAGGAAGAATAAGCGAATGTACAAAAGAATTCTAACGATTGCAAACTTACTTGCTAGCATAAATAGCGAAGAAGGGGGAAGCCTGACCCGGGTTAAGCTGAGCGCACGCACGCAGGCACACAGACCTTCTACTCTCAGAGTTAATATTAATCAATCAATTATAATTCTCAATAAAGAAGAATGATTCTGCTCATCATCATTATTGAGCATCATCGAAAATTCTGTTAAGGCATCTCTTTAGGAAAGATACGTGTATGTGTGTGTTGTTTAGTTGTTTTTCTGCAGCAGTGTGTGTCTCGGAGCACCAGCAGGTGGACGTGAGTGGTTTACATGTTCTCGAACTGGTCGACACGGCGCTTAGTGTTGCCCTTGCGGATCTCGCGCAACGTCTTGTACTTGTCGCGGCCCTGTCGCACGTTCTCCCTGTGGATCTTATCCATGTGCGTCTCTTTGCTCTCGTCCCGCGTCTGCGCCAGGTCTTGCTTCAACGCCTAAAAGAAATTCAAAAATTGTCAAATTTTGCGATAATTTATGAATTTTTCTATTTTGGAAACTCAACTTTTAAAAATTTAAAGAAAAATGACACATATTACAAAATATTACTCTAAAAAATGTTACTTGAACTTTTTAGATTTGCAGAGTTTTGTGTGGAGAGTAAAAATAAGAAAAAACTTGTCGTTTCCATTAAAATGCTGATCAAATGAATATTAAAATACCTTAAGTTGTGAGTGAAGGCGCTCGTTCCTCTCTGCCAAAGTTCGCCGCTCCTCAACGGGGTCAATGATGCCCTCATGGGTGGCCAGGTCACGACTCACATCACCATTGGGAATTTCGTCGTTCTCATCTTCATTCTCATCCAGGTGATGATGCTGGGGAGTAGTGGTGGCAGCCAAGAGCGCCAACTTAGCCTCCTCCTGGCGTCTGAATTTCAAAATTGGTTTAACAAAAATTACAATTTTCCGATTTATTTAACTCACTGTCGGGCATCCTCGACCTCCTGTTGCAGCCTCCTGGTCTCCTCATCCTTGGTTTCAACCTCATTCTGGATTCTGGACACTTCCTCCTGCTTGGTCCTGATCTCCTCCTCGAGCTTAGCCCGCTCGGCGGCCTCCATTTCCTTGCTCTCCTCCAGCCGGATCATCATGGCCTAGAATTTGAAACTTTGAATCTTGCTCCTCTAACATAAAATTGGTTATCCAAACCTGAAGTTCGTTCTGCTGCAGCTCTAGTTGCTCCTTAGCCGCCTGGAGCTGGCGCAGTTGCTCCTCGAGACGACGGATCATCTCTTGGGCTTCGAGCAGCTCGGACTGACGCTTTTCCATTTCCTCTTGCATCGAGCGAAGTTTATCCTCATATTCTTGCTGTTTGCGTTCAGCTTTCTCACGAGCAGCTATCTCCATCTGAACATTTACAAAAAATTAATTTAAAATTACAATTTTCAGAAAGCTTTCTAATCCAGGATAAATTGTGGTTTCAAAATTTACCTGAAGCTTTTCGCGCTGCTGCTGTTTAGCAAGGCGCTCCTCCCTGGCCTGGGCCTTCATTTGCTGGACGTCGATGGTGTCCGGCTTGCGACGCCGCATGTACAACTCGTGGTTGCCCATGCAGAGAGCCAGGATGCGCTTGTTGATGCGCACCCTTGAGGCAAAGAAGACAAAGTCTGGCGCCTTCTTGTCGATGGGCTTTATTATGAACTTGCGGTCTGAGAAGGAAATGTTGCGGATTTCAGACCACGGGAAGCCAATCTTGGGGGTCAGCTTGTCGTCCTTCTCGTAAATGTTGAGACCCAGGGCGTCCACGCCCAACCAGAGCTCGGTGTTCTTCTTATTGCGGATCTCAAAGTAGTTGACTCCGTACATCTCAAGGTCCTGTGCGATCTTCAGGTACTCCATCATGGCGTCCTCCCTGAGCATGCCCTTGTGTTCGTTCCACCAGGTGGTTACGCTCTGGTCCCACTCGTCCCGCGACATTTTGTGCTGGTCCATTACTCTGGGGAGAAAATTGTTATTTCCAGTTGAAAGCTAAAGTGATGGAAATTACCTCTGGGGCAGAAGACGGTCGTTGGCGAGGAATTTGGCACTGTGCTTAGACTTGTCAAAGTCGCCGTGTCTTGCCTGGACGGCGTAGGAGGCCAAAAGAACCGAGGTCTCAGGTGGACAATAGATCTCATCAGACAGAATGGCGTTTTTCACTTGCAAGTAGAATAATCTCTGCAAATATTGGTATTCTCATTAGTTTGATTGGATTTACGATAGATTTATAAATTGAAGATTAATTATTTCAAATGAAAATCTTTTGTAATATTCAAACTTTTAAATAAGAAAAATAAGGAATTAACAAAACTTCAAAAATTTCTATAATATTGCAAAATTTTTCATTTTCAGAAAAAGAAATGAGAAAAGAAAAGATTTGATTAACAAACCAGAGTGATGTCTTGAATAATTTCTTCTTGGACGTCCTCAGGGTAGAATTTGGCTCGGAACTTAAACTGCAGGGGATTCTCCTTCTTGACATCCTGGCCCATGACCTGGAATGGAAATCGATGGATCAGAATAAGGTTGGCAGCAGTCGCTCAAAATCTAGCAGTGCATTTACGGCTAATATTACTTTAAACGGCCTTGGCAATGGAATTAAAACGTGTCTGCGCTTGTTGGTTTTGCCAAAAACGGAAGTGAGCCGTGTCAAATTGCATTATTTCCACTCGATCTAGCCAGAATCAATTTATTACAGGCATGAGTTTTTGGTTTTACCGGAGAAGCAGCAGAAATTTTAAGCAAAGACTAATTATCATCAATAAGCCAGTGAAAAAATGCAGGGGGTGCGGCGTCTGAGCTGCGGAATTAATTCCTTGAAAGGCTTCGCGCCAAACGTAATTTCCACCCAAGGAAAACAGAAGGAAAGCACGTGACTGGTGTTTTCAGTAGAGTTGAACAATTTTGGGGCTGTTTTTGAAAGATTCAATCTCTGCATGTTTGCTTCGGATTTATAATTTATGTTCAAGGTTTTTCGATTTTTCGTCGAGTTTGCATAAAAATTATCAGTTGCCTCCTGGCGGCACAGCGTCGGTGTTTGTGCCAGTAATTATTACCTCATTAATAACCGGTGCTTTGGTGCAAATAAGCACATGCAGAATATTTTATCGCGCACAGACCTTATCTGCGCTTAAAAGTGGGCCAGCCAGCCAACCAACACGACAGCCCCAACGATGAATGAGCAAACAAATAATAATACATGTACGGCCGCCTCCGTTATCAATTTATTTACGAATTCACGCACGCAGAAATTTTCTCGCTCGTTTCACTTTCGAAATTTATCGCCATCGAGCACCGAGTCGAAACAGAGAGAAAGATCCTTCCTTCCGCTGGCGTGTAATTTGAGACTTTTGGAAACTTATCTCAAACAAGAGTTGTTGTTAACTTATCTTCTTCCACTAAAAAAGGGAGGCGCCACCAATTTATAGAAAATATTATGATAACCCTGATTATCTGCAGGAATTTTTGTTTCACTCCATTTCGCCCGATAATGGTCATAAATAATTCATTTCTTTTTTCAACAAAGATTTATAAAAGTATATATTTAAAAAAATTATTGATAAAAAAGGTATATTTTTGACCAACAAGGAAGGGGAAAATTTGAAATAAAATCGTGCGTTTAGTTTCCTCCTCTTAATCACTTAATAATTTTGAATAAATTAACTGTAGAAATTGTAAGTGAAACGATGAACAAATTCCAAAGCTTAATGGAAACTAGACTTATGAAGATAAAAACAAAGGAAATCAATGGAAAGCTGTCCTAAATTTTCGACGTGTTGACATTAGGTAAATACGTTTCTACTACTCAAGCTCTACATTATCTAATCAACGGGCAGATCATAGATGACTGTGACGACTACTATTTTCTTTGTCTTTTACCAAGTCGTCGTCCGACTCGTCTTCCGAGTCGCTCGGCGGCTTCGACAGCCGCCGTTTCAGCTTCTTCATCACTGAGTCCGGCTGCATGCACATGCATAATTTTGCACTCAAAACAAAAGCACAAAGGAATTGCGAATTGTCGCGGTGAAGACAAAGGACTTTTGTTTGGCGCGCGATTGGGATATATTTTGCTTGCGAAACGAAAAAGAAATTAATTAGGACGCGCAGCTACAATAAAGATTGAAGGAAATATTTTAATTATATATTGGTTAAATTTCGCGACAAGTGAGAATAGAACATAAGAGAAATTGCGTATAAAAAATAACAACACTAAGCTTAATATTAAGAATTATTTCCACGATTAAACTTTTAAAGCATGAACTTGTTAATTAATTATGGATAAAAATAGAGTGAGTTGCGAAGCTCACTATTGTCCCTTTATAAACAACACCTTATGTGGACACAACGAGAGAGCAGAAGACGTTTGCGTGTGTTGCAAGTGACGAGATAACAAAGAATAATCAAATAAGCCTTTCAGAGATAAGCTGCTGAGGAATTCCTGAACTGCTCCTCGTGGGCAGACATCTTCACTTTCCTCTCTCTCATGTAAATTTTTAATTGTTCTTTACCTTCTTGTAGAGCTTGATCCAGGTGAGATCGCCCTTGCTGTCCGTGTACTGCAGGCCGAAGAACCAGACCTCACGCAGACCTATGGTTTTGACCACTTGGTCGAACAGCTGTTTGCCGGTCGTCGTCTGCTGGATCGCGAACTCGAGTTCCGCGTCCATCGTCGTGACCCGCACATTCATCTGCAAAAATTAAAATAATTGTTGGTTAATAAACCAATTTAATAAGAATTCAAATTGCGAATTAAATTTTTACAAACAAATAAATTCTTTATATTTTCCTGTCTATTTTTATATTTTATACCAGTATTATTTCCAAATAAATAATTTTCTCAATTTAATATTTTATAACAATATTGAAAATTTCCAGATTATTATTAGTCACGTTTTATGCTATTGCGTTGACCGATGACGAAAAGCCCGAGTGTTTGCCGAATGACTTGAGAGGATAAATTTACACTCCTGAGAGGTTAAATAATGGCTCCTTTCGTCGACACGCACACAAGTGAGTCACAGGTTTAATCAAGCTGCCGGTGCAAGGAGTGAGGGAAAAAACTATGAAGATGCACCTGAGCGTTCTCACACATGTGCATGTGCAGGTGGAATTCACCAAAGGTCGAAAGGTCAAATTTTTTCGTATCAGGAAAAATTCATTTGATTTATTAAAATTTGAATAATTAATTTCCCCGTACATTTAATGCGCCAAATTCTGCATAATAAAAAAATCCACCGATTTTCGAACGCAGCTGGGCCACTGAGGACAAAAGGGAGAAAACAGGTCCCTCCCACTCTTGAATGGGTTTCTTTTATTATTGCAGACAAATAAATGAAAGGACAAACAGACTCGCAGCCAGACGGCGGAGGCCAATTTTCTTGAGCCCGCCAAGACGAAAACTTGTAATTGTTCACAGCCGTGAGAATTTTAAAGTTGGCCGAAGCGTTAACTTGTCCGAAGCGCAAAAAAGGAGAGAATTGACTTGGTAACGGGCCCGCCCTTAATTAATTTTTTTGCTTCCTGAGCTCAGCGGTCGGACGTCATTGCGGATGAGAGATGCAGTTCAAAATGGATGGATACACATGCTGCATGGCCATTTCAGACCGCAAAAAAATCATATATAAATAATTTATTTTTCCACTCATTAAAATATTACAAATTAATATTTTTAATAAAAAGTATTTCAAAAAAATCAAATTTGCTAAATTTAATAAATGTGGTAAAAATTATTTAGACTAATTTAAAATAAATATTTTTTATATTTAAAAATACTAGAGTTTTAGAATAATCCTTAGAATTTAATTAAGATGATCAAAGTTGACACCATTTATTGTGAATTACTCTCGAGACTGCACCTCTTTTTCTTATTTGTATTTTTTTTCCTCCGTTTCTCGTCAAGGGAAACGAAGGCTTAAGCCGACGCGAGCAATATGGCAAACGAGTGTGTGCCCCCTTGGGAGGATGATGTCATGATGAGCGTGCAAGGCCACAAAGCGCGGCCGTTTTTGTTCCCGGCGAAAAGCTGCTCAGAGCCCAACCGACGCACAGCTGATAAAAAACCAACCAAGGCGAATAATATCGCGGTGGAGAAAGACCTAAAGAAACAGACGCACTGTTATATAATAAAAAATATAAAATAATAACTGGCCGACCAGTTCGTTGTTCAATTAGCGCCAATTAATCGGCTATTTTTGTCGCCTCGTTCGTTGTTCCTCCGAAAAACTTTCACTTTTTATTATCACCCTCAGACCTCGGCACCGTTGCGAAAGTCCCTGCAATGAGGGCGCAGAAACTTGAAATTAAATAACAAGGAAAAATAAAAATATAAGATTAAAATAATTTGCGTTTCAGTAAATTGGAACAAAATTTTTTTTGACCCGACAGAATAATAAAAAAAAAAATTCAAATTATTGGATAAATTTCTATGGAGGAAAATAATTATGCTAGATTTTAACATTTTAACGGGAAAAATCCCTGAATATGAGGATGAAAAATTTTAGTAGAATTTCACAGCCATCAAGTCTTATTGATGGTGAATTCATAAATTTGGCTTTTCTTAATGAGTATTCTTCAGTTTTGTTTTACAATGAACGCTTTATTAAAAAAAAAAGTTAAATAAATTTAAAAATATTATTACAAATAAAAGTTAAAAAAAGGCAAGTGGACTTAATTGATAGCGTTTAATTTTAAAATTGCAAATCTATTGTTGTATTAATTTCGTCTTTTTTTTAATAATGAAAGCTTCAGATTGTTATTTATCAGCCAAACAATACCTGACCAAGTGAGACCACGAAAAAAGAGAGAGTGCAAGAAAGATGAAAACAAGTGCAGGCAATTTAGCGCAAAGACGGAGAAATTGCAACTCGCCGCCGTTTAGTAAATTATGTCCTTCGGTTTCTTTTCTATTCCCTTGCTAGACGAACCTGTTTTCTCAACTAGATCTTGTTCTCGCTAATTACATTTTTCCGATGAAAATACCATTAACTTCCAGCTAAGGACTCTGTTGAGCGTGAACTGCATTACTTTCGAGAATAATTTTTGCATGCGAATTTAACCGACCAGACGAAAGTCCGTTACAAAAGAGCCGGGCTCCGCCCTATCAACGGACTTGCCGCCACCGCGATTAATCTTTGAATTGACACCAAAATTCACAAAAACAGGATGGAGTTTTTTCGGCTGATTCATTTTCGTGACGGATTAATTTAATATCGCGGCAGGTGGGAAATCTTTGTGATTTTCCTCATGCGTCACCCACGAATGGAGCCGAAAAAAATGCCCTATCACTCTGCGCTAGTGACACACTTTGCATAACCAAATCGACCGAACGAATTTGATCACACCGCGAAAAGAGCCGAGTTTTTACTGAGAAAATAAAAATTTTGACCGTTGGCGGAATAGGGTGGTCGGTCCGACCCTCTCTCAATATCCCTTTTAGTGTGAAAATACTTGCCATTTTTCCTCCGACCACCATTCTGGCGAATTGAGTATTCGAGCCGGTTTGATGGCGAAATCGGAAGAGGCGAAAAAAGTGCACTCGGTGGAAAAAATGCGGACTTGATGCACTTGCCGAGTGGAAGTAACTGCAACTCCAACGGAACAACACTCAACAGGCGTCTGACTGCTCGGCAGTCTGCCAGTTTTTGCTTTTTCACCAGATACGGGCAACCGGTTGTTTTGCCAATCGTACCGGTAGTTTACGAGATATTTGTGGTAAATGTCCACTTTTCGCTACAAATTTTTCACAAAATTTTCCAAAATATTTAAAAAAGACTTGCAACGTAAAATTGAAGCATAAATTATAAAACAAAAATAATGCTTGAAGAATAAAAAATGTCCCACTGTACAAATAAAAATTGTAGCTCATGATAAAAGATAAATTAAATTTGATTAAATATAATATAAGAAGGAGAGATAAAAATAGAAATTTAGATAAAAGTCAAATTTATACGTACTTCTCTGGATTTTAGCAACACACAAAAGATGAGACGAGGAGTTTAATGGGAGAAATCAACAACTTGTTGGGAGAAATTTTTGGCACTGCAGATGCCTTCCTCGGCTATCAGAGACTGAATGAGTAGTGCATGTACAATCAGTAGTGGGTGGGGTTGATCGAATGTGATAATATTACTTTTTTATTACTTTAATATTACTTCGCTTTCAATTTAAATTGTGCATTAGTTTCATACAATTTTAGAAAAATTACTTAAATTTTCAAATTTGTACTGGTGTTTGACACGTTCTTCGTGTTTTTTTAAGTTGTAAATCACAAAATTCATGACGTGTTCAAAATTGAAGACGTCACGCTTTGATGGTGACACTGGAATTTTTATTGACATTTTTTTAGCAATGCCACTTCGTAATAATAAAGATCAAGATAAGAAAAAGCTCCTTGCCTCTTATCCGAAAGTTCTGTGAATAATCCATGTAGTGCAATAATGATAAAAACTGGAAAGAGAAGTCGACTCATAATTATATAGTAATGTATAATGACTAAATCAACAATGGAATATTAACAATATTAAGATGAATTATAAGATTCTTTTCAAAATTATTTATCTATTAAAAAAATCATTTGCATAAAATTTAAAAGTAGAGATACAGCAACTATTTACAATCCCTTTTAAATTTATATAAGGAACAAAATTATATTTTACGGAGCAGGAAAAGTATAATTATTTGTATATACAAATATTTAAATATATTATCCTTCCAAACCTGTGGTATACAAGATTTTATCAGACCCAAAACCACTTCAGAAATTTTGTAAATAAATACTTAACAAATCTAAATTTTTATTTTATCAATTATTGAATGAGATTGGTACGACTAGGGCAACTAGTACCATAAACCATTAAACTGGTTTCAAAAACCGGTTACTTTCGCTGAGAACGGAGCCCCGCCCCCCACAGCGCCAAATTCGAACCACCGCGCACCATTCCCAGAAAGTATGCCCTTATCACCGGTGACGTCAACCGAGTGTCACTCTCTATCAGGCCGGTGTGAACCAGTCTAAGGGCGGTCGCGACCCCTTCGACCTCACAAGCCGCTCGCGAGGGCACGAGGGCAAAATGAGCCGGACAGCGCGGCCTCCGCACTCGTCCCTTTTCAGGGCGGGGTCCGTAACGGGGTCACTAGGACACGGTGTCGGCTTCTGTTCTTTTTTAATCTTGAATTTCGGAAATTCGCCGGACCCTTCGTTCGGCAATGCGGCCAAAAACAACGCGGTCTCGGTGACCGGAGGCGGTGGAAGTTGGTGGACCTTGCGGCCTTCAAATACTTACTGATTTAGGCATGGTGCTGGCGTAGGGGTTCCCTGATCGCTGACCCAGGCGCTCCTGAAAGGGCACAGCAACGTTAGTCAACGTGTAAAGGCGGCGTCGGCCGAAATTTCGGCTCACCTGAGATGAAAAGGCGCGGCAACCCCTGTCGGTGACAACTCACGTCTAATATGGCCGACTTCGCAGGGTGGGGTAATCGTTGCCAACATGACAAAGTCTTAATGATAAATTAAAAATGATTGTTCTCCATTCAATTTCAATCTCTTTAGATATTTTTAATTATAAAATACAGTTTTGTAATAAAATAAAATTTATTTATTGGCTTCGAAGGAAAATGTTGGTATTTCAAACTTGTATGTGATAAATTTATGTTGGTGCTTTGTAATATTCGAAAAAGTTTGCCGCGAATTGGGGTGTTAGTTCTGCCGTTCTCCCGCTGTGTGGCGCATTTTATGCCTTTTCCGGTGATATGTGAGCACCACAATTGGATTTCCTTTCAAAACACAGTGCTCGTCAATGTAAAAGTGTAGAACGGGTAGCGGTATTATTATATACATATGCTATATACTCCGGAAGAAAATGCAAACACTCGATGAGCTAAATAAAGACCAATAAAGGCAGTGACGAACGGGGAAATGGAGTTTGCGCATTCTTATTTCTTGAAAATTACTTTTAATTTTTACAATTATATAATTAATAAATATTAGATATCTCCTAAAATTTGAAATTAAATTTCAAACTGACATTAAACATCATTTCAGTGATTATAGCGGATTATATTTTCTTATAATATGGTAGTACATGAAAAAGGAATTGGCCAGATATGAAAAAAAAAATATAAAAAAATATCAATTATAGACACTTTTCTTATCAGGTGGCCCTAAGGATTTATGAAAAAATCATTTGAATAGAACAAAATATCCTCAGAATTTAATAAAAACTTTTAAATTTGAATTGAATGAGGCTTGCAAAAAATGAAATGATTCACTATGTATAATGTAAGAATTAGAGGGTGACACCTTCATAGAATTATTTCGTTGTTGGCGAAATTTTTCCTTGCGTTGTGAGCACGCTTTTATCACGAGCCCTCCGCAAAGCTGCCCTTTGGCAGGACGAGCGCAGAGCCGCCCCCGGCCTGCGCGCCGCCCCCCGAGGAGGAGCCAAGCCAAGTTCGGGGCGGTCGTCGGACGCGCCTCGTTAGTCGCTAATTGACGTCCCGAGCACATGGATAACCCCTGTCCTGAGGCGCATCAACTCCACTTGCAGGTGATTTGCTTTTTTGTCTTCTAATTAGGGCAGAATTAATTAATTAGAATTTTATTCCCGCGTATAAAATGATAGACATGTTATCGGATGAGCTGTCAACTCACACAGTCCTGTTTTAAAATAAAATTATTGACTGTCAAATATTTATTTAAAATGTTCATCCTTTGAGTCCATATTTATTTTACTTCAAAATGTAAATTTTTTAAATACAAAAATTTAGTTTTTAATTTAAATACATTTAAAATTTTAAAGAATCTAATTATCTCCTTCCTCAACCTAAATAGAGAAAATAAATTTAATAACCTAATCTAAAAACCCTTTTTATTTATTTTTTTTTTTACAGACGTTCATTGTCTTTGAATTATATAATGTTGCTATTTATTTACTACTTATATATACGTTTTGTCTCTTGCACGTCTCTAAGGAAGTATTTTTTTTAAAGGATCTTCTATATATTTTCAATTTTTGGGGAAGAACTTTTACAGAGCAATTTTAGTTTCATGAAATTAAATAAAAATATAAAAATGTTTCACATTGATTCTTGAAGAATATCAATCTAGAAGATCAGTATCAAATAATTAGCACCGCTCAGAAGGTATTTTTTTTTTTTAAATTCATACTTAAAAAATGCATGCCAGCTGAGCGGGCAAAGTGCAGGCCAAAGGAATTGCTGAGAGCGCTACTGCGGATAATCAATTCCTCACCTCATTTATTATGTGCACTGCTGGCTGAACTATGAGGGAATTTCAATGCGCACAACCTAGCCAAATTGTGCTTTTGCAAAAAATGTGACAATTTTGAAAAACCAATCACACTGCGCTACATTATATTATTATATAAAATCAGAAAATGTGTAAAATTCGTCTTACACTTGTTTCTTTGTGGTCAATTAATTAAGACCTATAGATTATTTTCTTCATTAATTTAATTTGTTAACAGCATCACCAACACATACGCAATATTTAACAATTTATTGTGGTTTACTAATTTAATTTTTTAAATATGTGTATAATGAATGTTATGTTGATATGGGCAGAGAATGCCTTGTGGTACCACACTTAATTTGCAACTAAAAAATAAAACAAACGGTAGCTCAAATCCATAGAAACGGCAGCAAATTATTGCTTAATATTTAATTTTATTCTTACATTGGGCGTTAATTTTGACACCAGACGTGGTTCATGCAGCAGTCTTCTTCAGCATGTCTTCCTTTTACACTCTCAAAATTTGTTATTCACATTTGGTGTTTAAAAAAAGCAGAATTTTTTTTACAATTCTGTTTAAGGAACGAAACAACAATCAATTGCCATTAATTTATGATATAAACCCATATTGCACGTTGAGGGTTAAGGGCTCCTTATTGTCATGTTTTAAATCAAGTGTTTACGACAGTAGTACAAATTTTTGGCAAATATTGGGAACATTTTAGCCGCTATTGTTGTAAAGTTTGACTTGATTTGATTGGATTTGATTATGGTATAAAAGGAGTCGTTCAAGATTTATTTTGATTTCCATTGTTGCATAATGATGGTTACATAGGTCTATAGAAATTAGATGTAAATCCATTATTGCGTAATGTCATCGTTCATTTTGCTGCATTTGTGCGAGTCCATTGACTTTTATTTTGTTGATTTTTATAGTAATTTAAAAAATAATAATATATTAGGATTCAAATAATACGTTATATGGTTTCATCGACCTATTTGATTGCTTCCAACAATAAAAATAAATGAAAATCACTAATTTATTTATTTAAATCAAAATTTTTTTAAACAAAGTCAACGTCTGATTACATTTTTCACGTTAATAATAAAATCAGCCGTTTGAATGACATCACTGTTCTATATATAAAGAAAAAATACGTACTCGCAATTAATTTGAGTTAGGAGTGTTGAATGCAATTTTGCTGCACTCGCACTCTGCAGGGTTGTTGACCTCTTCGACTAGCAGAGAGAGTGACACATTTTACAGCGATTCCTGGGCGCTACTTGCAATAGCTATGACTAATTTTATATGTTTGCAGCAAGCCACAGCTTTCTTTTCCGATTTTTCAGCAACCTTTAATATCATGGGTTTCAGGTGGTTCCACGTTCTGCATTCAAAAAACTTGTTTTTAAAATTTTCAATCAATTGAAATCACGTGGGCTTTGGGAAGTACTTACAACCCTCCTTATTATTTTACAATAAAAATGAAATCATGTTTTTTTATTAAAGATATTAAATAATATCCAGGGTTTTAATTTCTTTTTAACGAATTATACAAAGAAGCAGCTCTTCAATTTTGCGAAAGTTTACAAACCGCTGAGATATGGTGGCGCCTTGACTGGCGCTGGTTCACTGAGAAAAATTGCGCTGATTGTGCACTTTTGGCTCTGCGGGTCAAGGAGAAAGAGACGTGCAAGTTAAGTGCTCTGGACGCATGCACTTTTCTTGAGTGTCGAAATTATTTGCCAAATAATGCGTCTCATCAGCTTTTCACGTGACTGAAAATTACAAGAAAATGAATCACAAAATTGCGACTCACAAAGTAAACATTATTTTTGTGGGCCTACTTGTTTCAGGAGCTGAAGCGGCCACCGCCTTTCCTGTCACCCACAATCCCCGAACATCTGCCCCCAACTTCATTGGGCCTCCTTGGTGAGTAAATTTAATAAAAATTAATGACCGAAATAAAATTAATTTGTTTGAAATTAAAATTTCGTTGAAATTGAATACTTATATGAACCGAAGCTTGTATATATATTTAAAATGTCACTGAAAATAATTCCTGCGCTGAAGTTCCTCTCACCGTCACTTCTATTTTTGGTGCTAATTTCGAGCTCAACTTCGCTGGGTGCAGAGGAAATCAGAGTCTCTCCCGCACACTGCACCGAGCACACACAGAGAAAAGCACGTTCAGAGCACACACGTGCTGTTTACCCGATGAAATGCGGCTCAAAATAAACCACTTGGTCATAATTCATGCACTGCCAATTACCTTCAGTAGAATATTGACTGCCACTCTGACGTCGAAAAATGCGCTTTTCACGCCACCGTTCCTTTAAGAGATGCACTGATTGTGAATTGAATGAATTAAACCAGTGCTATAATACATTATATTGAAAATAATGAAAAAGCTGTTAATAATTGTTTTGGAATTAAATTATTTTTAAAATGTTTTCGTTTGTCTATGTTTAATACGCATCGAGTCTATAAATAATATTCAAATATAAATTTAAACGATTCTGAACTAGATTCAAATTTACGAGCCTGACCAAAACTCCTAACAATAAAAAATTTCATTAATTAAAATCTGTAGTTGATGGATGCATGATTTTTTTCTCATCTTCTCTTGCGGAGAGCAGGTTGCTTTATTTGTTTGCGTGGTGCGGTGTTATATGTTTTGAGATGCTCCAAAACAAAATATTTAGTTGTCTTTGTGGCCAAATATTTACTATTTTAATCCTCAGTATTTTGTAAATTCTACACGCCCTACAGTCACACACAACAATATTTTTTCAAAAAATGAAAATGTTTTAGCTGCACTTGTAAATAACGCATTTTCTTCGCTGTAAAAAATTTAAAATTCTCCAGTAACTTCAAAGTTATCTTTTTTTTCCGCATGAAATGAACTTAATGGCACACTGAAAAGAGAGGCGTGCGTATATTGAAATTCTATTAAGGTTGTTGCGTCCTTGTCGGCTAACAATGAGGCAAATTCATGCCCTCAAGAAATAAACATCGGCGTTTCTTATCTTTCCGCGCGGCGAAATTGTGCTGGAAAGGCAGAAAACTATCCGCGTCAAAAGCAGCTCGCACAGACAGGCTCATTTTCTCGCTCGCAGTTTATTGCCAAATCGAAAACAAAAGTAAAAAAAATTACATCAGCTTTGCTAGGTTCCCGTGTGAAGCTGCGAGAAATGCGACAGCATTTTTTCCCCAGCCGTTTTCGCACAAGAGAAGAAAAATTAAAACTCATAAAGTGTGCGTCAAATTGCCACTTTCAAAACGTGCATACACAGCTTGCTCGTAAAATCGGATGTGCCGGCGTCTCGCTGAAATATTATTAGTCTGGAGTGACAAAAATGCCATTCGTTACTCAACTGGACAGTTTAAAGGCAACCAAGAAGTTGCTTTTACTTTAATAAAAAAGTTTTTAAAAACAGTTGGTTAAATTACAAACAGATCTATTAGAGATGAAGAAAATCGGGCTTGTCCTCATTGCAAAAATTGTTTTTATTAAAAAAATGAGCCGTTTTGTTTTTGAATAAAAACAATTTTTGCAACGAGGACAAGCCCGATTTCCATGATCATCTCCTCGAGTGTCAATTTCTTCAAACAGATCTATTTGATTCTCAAATTTTCTGGTGATTTCTTTTTTTCTTTTTATGTGAAATAGAACTTCAAGTTTCTTAATTATTTCAATAATTAAGATTTTTATAAATAATTGCCTGTACTTGCTGTGGACATATAATATCTTTTCTGACTAAATTATTTATATTTATTTTTAAGGTTTTCCTGCGTAGGTAACTCGATTGGGAGTATTTTTAAAGTTAATTTCTTTCTAAACTTATGCTTAAATCATCAACAAAAGAATAATTTTATGGCTATAAGAGGATAAGTTAATTTATAAAATTTAATTTGAAATAATGCAAAACCATAAACATCAAAATAATTAATAAATTATTTTTTGCTTATCCCATCTAGAAATTTTCAAGTTCATTTACTAAACTCTGATATTCGTGCATAGTGTTCCAAATACTTATTTTGATTCGACGACACATTATTTACAAGCTTCGGCTTTTAATTAACAGACTTATAGTATTTGTGTGTCAAAACACAGGTCTGATATTTGCAAAACAAAAAGACCTAAAACTCGCAAGTTGGCCAATTCGCGCGACAAGTTGGCTTATTTATTTAGTCTCCGTCGCCGAATGGATTTTGAGCAAGTGTGCCAGGTAAGCGCAGGACGGAATGAAAAACACAGAAACGCCGAAAGTCGACGTGCAGTTTATCACATACCCCTATTCGGAAAGTGGCCCCGCGGCCCAACTCGCGAAATTCGGAGGGCGGTATCGCGTGACAAATCGAGATGATCGTTTTCTCCTCTCTCTCATTTAAATGGCTGAGTAAAAAGTCTGGTTGTTAGTAGCGGGATCGGATTTCCTCGCGACTAATGGATGCATCTCTCGTCGCTCGGCGGCAAACTGATACTCTAATTATAGCTGCGAGAGCTGCCAGAGAGCTTGACTCCGCTGTTTGCTCTCTCGTCTCTTTTATTTTCTTTCCTGAATTTCAAAACAAAACAACCTGCTTTGGCAAAACCCCTTTGCTTTTTAAGTGGGATTACCTTGTTATGGAAACTTTATTCCAGTAAACAGAAAATAATGATGGAAATGTATCATTTTGTGTTATTTAAACATTGCAACTTTTGATTTAAGGGTACGGCAGGGATCACCAAATGATCGGCCGGTGCTTGGATCCGAGCAAAGGTGACGAGTTGCCGCGCGAGGATAAACCCGACCTGACCACAATACATTCCATGCCGTCCTTTGTTCTGCACCACCACCATCAACACTTACCAGAGGCAATCCAACCGTCGTCCCCAGACCCACCACAAACGGCAGTCACTCCTTCTGGGTAAGTAGAAAATCTTATAAAAATATAATTTGTACATAATAATTTGTAGCCTCAGTTTCGAACTGTATTTTGTGCAACCTTTTAAATGCATAAAAATTTAAATAATAATTTAATAAAATGGGACTTTGAAGAGACAAGCCAACAAAATAGGACAAAAATTACCCAAAGTGAAAATGGTTTTTTTTTTAATTAATATAAATACATTAAATGAATGGCAGACACTGATTAAAAATTGACAGAATCTAAAAAATTTGTAACTTTTAAATTATTTGTAAAACAAATTATGAATTTAAAAAAATCTAAAGCAAATTGCAAAAAACACAAGATTCTCCTATGGCACATTTGTTTTTTTAAATTAGCTATTTTCATAGCAAATAAATTTGAACTCAATTTTTTTCTTTCTATTCCTGATATTTCCTCTTTTACCGCTGTGGGAACTTCACCGTGCGAAATATTCACGGCTCGCTTGCAAAATTATTATTCTTTATAATACCAAGAATAATTGATTTTTAGTATTCGAATCATTTTCACTTTTCACTCACTTCAAATTAGAGGCTTTAAAAATCACACTCACAATTCAAAATCAATTTATTTAGTAGCAGTCAGCAAGAGATCGGAGGTTCAGTACGCGAAGCGACTTCGCCGGCCGACTCGGAGGACCATTCGGATCCGAACACGAAACCTCCCTACAGTTACGTGGCCCTGATCGCGATGGCCATCCAAAGCTCCGGCCTGAAACGAGCCACCCTGAGCGAAATCTACAACTTCATCACGTCCAAGTTCCCGTACTTTGAGCGGAACAAAAAAGGCTGGCAGAACTCGATTCGCCACAATTTGAGTCTGAATGAGTGTTTCGTCAAAGTTCCTCGCGAGGGTGGTGGCGAGAGGAAGGGCAACTATTGGACTTTAGGTACAGAAAAAATTTTCTATTTTAACAGGTATGCAACTTACTTGGCCTTTAAGTTCTCACGGTTGCATAACTATGAATTCACCAGGCGCGTTGATTTCTTAACTATTGTAAAAAAAGTTAATTCTTTTCATTTCATTTTTTCAGATCCTCAGTATGAGGACATGTTTGAAAACGGGAACTACCGAAGACGGCGGAGGATGAAACGCCCTTATAGGACGGCCGGAGGTTACGCAAAAGCCACATTTTTCACTGATTCTTTTGCCCACACCTTGCCTCTGAACGGCCGCAACCTCTTCAGCCCACCAGCTTACAATCCTTATCCAAGGTAAATTCATTTGAAAAAAAAAAAATAATAATAAATAAACACCACATAGTTTAAATTTTGAATCTGTTGATTTTGAGACAGAAATAAAAAATACAAAATAAGTCCCTTTATTTGTCATTCGGGTCGGGAAAGCGCCGCGATGACAGCGGCTTTTTGTGCTCGCGGCTGACGAATCGCGGCGAGTTTGAACATTTTTAATCCCGGCCGTGGTGACAATTTAAAATGAGCCTGGGTGGCGTTTGCGTTTCAGCGCCAGTTGGCCTCCTCTGCACGGATCCGCCTACCCCGGTGGATGTCAGTCGGGTCGTCCTGGCGCACCCCCGGCACACCAGAGCGTCGCACCAACCCTTTTTCAACCCCTCGCCTCGTCCCAGGTTTGTTCAATTGCAATTAAAAAATAATTAATTTAATTAAATTTAAATTCTAGATGAGTTCGAGTGTGCAGCTGCCACCAATGGGCAGCTACTCGCACCAGCTTTCTCCAGGTTTGGGTCAGTATTTTTTATTTTAAATTTTTGCGAAAATTTATTCTTTCACCATCTGAATAAGTCTTAATACGATCTTCCCATTTTGGGCAGGTCCAAGCGCAGGACCCTCAAGTTTTGGGCAGCCCCAATTTCAAGCAGCCTGTGCTCGCAGGGAAGAGGCGGCCAGATATTCCTACTGGCCAACCGACGGTGAGAATAACTCTGCTGGCCTGACCATTCAAATCTGACTGCATGACCTTTGCTGCCTCTGATATTTTTAACCTCTTCTAATTTTATTTAAATTTTAAAACTAAATGCTCAAATAATTAATGATTTCTAGCTGTTGTTTAAATTAATGCAAATAAATCCAAATTAATTAAGATTTCTAATTGAATTGCGCGAGTTGATTTTTTTTCTTTGTGAAGGAACCACTTAAAGCGTCGTGCTAATTGACAGTTAATGCCGGCAGCGGTCGTGTACTGTTTTGAAATCTTACCCCGTGTGTGGTGATAATAAAAAGCGCGCGTGTTGTACTAACTTCGTTGCTCCCCCAGCATTTTTCCCCGAGTGCGCTGTTTATTGTTTTTTCTCGATGGCTTTGAAAACAAAATTAAGAGGTCAAAGCAAACCTGACTGCGCGCGTCTATCAATTTATTTAAGACCCGCTCTCTTTTCGTCAGCTACTCTGAGGAGAGATCGCTCCCGATTTACATCCACACACACTTTCCGTGCTCGAGCGGCAGCCATTAGAGCCCTATAGCTTGGTATTTTGTCTCGTTTCTGCCAAATACCTTTAAGATTCCGACACGAAAAAGCGTCGTCGGTGTTCACATAAAAAACAATCACGGTTTTGTCCTTGTTAATTTTGCTGCAAAAAAATTAAGCAATCAAATTATTTTACTACAGTTTTTTAGTGCACAATGATAAACACTTTTGTTCAATATTGTTTTTCAAAATGTAATGAATTTAGTAAAAAAATTTAAATACAAAATTTTACAAAGTGGCATTACAAAAATCGAGTAAAATTTTCAAAATTAAAATAAAAAATATACTTTATTATAAAATATTTGTTTTTTATTAATAAAATAATAAAATTGAAATTATTTTTTAAAAGTATGTAACAGAATAAACCTCAAATTAGCTGAATGATTTAATTTTTAACTTAATTAGATTATTAAGCTTAATATTAATTTGTTCAATTTTTATAAGCATGAAATAAAACACAAATTGAATTTGCATGATTTTTGTATAATGTTTTTATAATTCTTGTTCAGCATGGTGTTTGTATATTTAGTTAATTTGGTGTAAATTTATTTCTGTATAAAGTTGTCACCAATGATTATCACAATTTGGTGCGTGTGTTGGCAGCGGGCGTTCGCGGCGAGGCGGGCGGTGGAGGCGCTTTTGCCGGATTCAACCCCAAGTGCTTCATGTGACTGCGTTTAGAAAATCATAAAACTCTTTTTAATTGTTATTGGTACAAACGCGCGGCTGTAAATAGCGTGACGCGGCGTGAATTAATGGCGGCAGGTGGCAGTCGGTCGGCGAGGCGGCGGCGGCGACGGCAGCGAGAATGAGCTTCACAGTCGCTCTCTCCTCCCACGATTTACCGGCCCATTTGCTCAACATGATGTGTGTGTCGCGCTAATGCACCCCGTCTCTCTCCGCCACCATCCTCGCCTATTAATCCTCGCCTATTTTTTACCCACTCGACTACACACGCTCCCAACCGCACAGCTCCTCAGGGGGCACACCAACAATTTCCTCAACATTTCACATTTGCTTTTAATTTTTTTTTTCACAAATCTTTAGTCATTATTGAAATAATTTCGCGCATTCGTAATAAAAAAATTATTTAAAATCACTTTCTATTAAATTATTAACTTTTTTTAAATTAAATCTTAGGGATTAAATTTATTTAGGAAATCATTTAAAAAAAGGGGGATGATTCAATGTAATAAATGTTGATTGAAGTCATAGTTAATGAAGCTTGTTCTTCCATTTCACTTTGATGCTCTTGGTGTTCCCCTGTGTGGAACTGACGGACCCAAAATCGTCTCTTGAACTGCTCCCCAGAGAGAAGTGCATTTCCCCGAGTATTATTAGCCGTCCCATTGCAACCACTGTTTTTTTTATCCTTCAAACTTCTCATCTTTTAATACTTGAATAACTTTTCATTTAAGATAATTCAGATATTGAAGCTGTAATTAAAATATGACATGTCATTTTCCCTTCATTTGTAAAACCGAAAACTGCCACCGCTTCTATAATTATATAATAGTCAAATGTGAATTTAATTTTAGAATAAAAAACGTGTCTCTGTGATTTAATTTGGTGAAAATGTTGCAGATCTTTGATTTTCTGCCTCCCTCAAATGTTCAGGTTTAAACTGCAGTAAATATTAGTGCTCTTACAGGTTGTGTATGATTCTTGATGAACAACGTATCGGGTTGAATATTGATAAACTTTCACCAAATGTTTTTTAAACTTTGCAGTCGTTGGGAAAAAAGCCGCTGTCAACGCGGCGATCAAGCGCCGCGCAGCTGCTACCTTTAAACAAGTCAAAAGAAGAGGCGCTCGCTCGATCTCACTCGCGCGCACAGCCTCCGCTGTCACTCTTTTCGGTGAGCGCCATCCAAAATAAAACCACCGTTCCCATCGCTTTTCTCACAAGGCTGCAGCTATCTTGATTTTCATTCAAAATCAATAATTAAGATAATGAAATAATTAGCTGGTATTATTATGGCTCAAAATACATTTAACTAAGAAAATTGCTTTCTTTGCAGATCAAATCTCTAAAAAAATTAAATGAAATGACTTGCAGAAAAAAAATAGTTGCGATTTCAGTTGCATGCGTTCAATAATTAATATTAATGTAACTTACTTTTACACTGGGGAAAAACTTTTGGTTTTCAAAAAGTCATAAAAAGTTTCTTTTTTTAAATTTCTTTCAAAATCTATGAAATAAAGCAAAATGAATTTATTAATTTCAATTTTACATTTGTACAAACAATTATAAAGGCAGTGATTTTCCAGAAAAGTTTTTCTTATGAAAAGTAGATCTTTGGACAAATAAGAATGAATTTGGCTAAATCTGAAAAATTGGTAAGCCAGAATAACTGACTTTGTAGCCGTTTTGCTCACTTTGTCTGTAAAATCTCCTTAAACGAGTAGGGTAGAGTTCCTAGAGGGGCACATTTAATTGATTTACTGTGATCTCTGTTGAGCTGGCTTGAGTTGGATTTGAACGCACGGCCACGTTAAGTAAGAGCACGTCTGCAAGAAAGTAAGGCAGGCAACCGGTGCAACACATGCATTTCGCTCGTCATATATAAAATCAATTCATTGATTTTTTTTCACATGCACGCGCTTACAAGAATTATTATTTTACACTTAATTTTGAATAAAATTAAATTTAAATCATTAAAAATAATACAGGTGTTTCTTTATTAAAATCATACACACTGCTAAAAAAATTTTATTCTAATTTAAATTCAAAAAAATTGTTCCCCCTCCAAATAAAAAGCCAATTTATGGATTCTGAAAATAAAGGAGGAAGGTAGAAATAAGTGTGTCAATTTTATTTTCATTTACATAATTATTATATACAACAAAAGAATATTAATAAATGTTTGTATAATAATATTCCAATTCTGTTCTTTCGTACAACCAGCTTGTGTTTTCCACGCCAAATCTCTTAAACGTCTAAACCTTCGTCTTCATCTTCGCTTCTGAAAGTTTTAATACCTCATGAGACGGGATTCTTTTGTTTCGGTTCAAGAAAACTCAAAAATCGTGATTATTGCGTAAATAAAATATTAGCTGATAATTTATTTTATCAATTTAATAATAATTTTGCCGAGTTAGAAAGTCATTAATAAAGCTAAGCAATAAAATATGTACAATTTTATTAAAAAAATCGCTCTTTTGTTATTTAAAGCATGTTTTTTTGTTCCGAGATTAGGGAAAGTGTTGAATAAAAGATTTTGCAATTAGTTTTATACATATAGTTATTTTCCATTGTTTAATTTTCGTTCGCTCCACAAAACACACATTTTTGCAGTTAATCAAAGAATTATGTTCACACATAACTAGAGAATTCGCCTATATTTCCCCACGAAAGAGAGGATCACAAGCACAATAGTTTTCAGTATACAAGGGCTGCTGACATGTTTTCTTTCTTTAATGAACACACATATTCTCATTAAAATGGTAAAACAAAATCACTTTGATTATGTTCGTCTGTCGCACAAAAACCATCCAAAATAATAAAAAGTATTAAAACACGCGCACTAACTCCAAAAAGCAGGCCGAGATTCTCACAAACGAAATAAAATACCTGCCTGGGTCAGAGGTCAAGAAAGACTCTGTTGCGAGACAGAGGCCCCAACCGCCAGTCGATCCTTTGCAGAAAAATTCATTTTGAAAATATTGCTCGACAAACGTTTGAATGAAATTATAGAACATTGCATTGGTATTCATTGGTAAAAAATCCTTCTCTCGTGTATATATATTTGTAATAATTAACATTTTTCCTTCTAGTAAAATTTGGTATGTGTATAGTTTAAAAAGTTCATCTCATACATTCATCTGCTTTTTCGCTCGGCTAAACTCTTAAACAACATTTTTAAAACATTAAATTCTGTACTGGAAGGCATTTATAGTTTTATTTTTGTTATTATTTTTTTACTTCAAACCTCTCGAGTTGAGTGATTTCTCCTCTCTGTATACCGCAAGACTTTGTGTTAAATTAAGAAAAAATTGCATTCATTGCAGAGCCGTCTTTTTCAACTTTTTTTTAGATTGTTCATGAATCATAAAAGTGGCTGACAGACAATTGTAGTGGACAAGGCACGTGCAGACTAGACAAGATTTTTACCCGCTTTTTATTTTCCGTACTTGATTTTGATTTCGCTTTTCATATTGATATTCCCGGATATTCCACTGTCAATTGGCTCTGTTTCTCCAATTAAAAATCTCGTAAAAAAAGGGAAAAAAAACACATTTAATTGGTTAAATTCTAAAGAAATTTATATTATGTACGTAAAAATAAAAATAATTTAAGGTTAAATAAGCGTAATTATTGCAAAGCCTCTTAGATTTTGATTAGAGAGGGGTAAAATATTTGCGTCAAAATGGCAAGAAGCAGGTTTGGTTGCAAATAAAGCCGTTAAATTAATAATAAAATAAGACGGACGAAATAAAATCACTGGTCGTTGGCGGAGATCCACGAGTTAGAGCGGAGGCTGTTAGTCGGCGAAACGTACCCTGCGACGGAGCCCTGCTCGATGTTGGAGTTTGACTTTTTGAGGATGCTTTTGGGCTTAATGCATGATGGACTAGCCGGTGGCTGACCCGGCGACGTCGGACTGCTTGGCTGCATCACGTGAATGGCGTCCAGGGACGGCCGCTTGCAGAATAAATTCAACTTCCGTTGTTGCTGCTGGCCTCGAGTGGCCATCGCTGGACTCTTTTCTTTGACTAAGTAGGTGCCTATTGAGGAGGCAGAGCTCTGCACCTGGAAATTAAGGGGCGAGATTTGTTGAATTTTGAAGTACACATATCAATAGTTGAGAATTAAAAAAGAAATTTATAAGCTCAGCAAATAAAAATAAAACAACAATATTTTGGTTAAATAGTAGCTGGGGTCTAAATCTGTAAGCTTTTTCGTTTCTATTTCCATTTCTATATTCATTTTCCATTTGCTTACCCATTCTATTTCGTCGCCTTTTTCGATTACGACTTCTATTTCGCAGCCTATCCATTTTCACTTGTCTAATTCGTCGTCAATTTTAATAGTTGAGCCATAAATAAATATAAATAAATATATATATTTTTTAATTTAATTATTGCATATGCGCTTACAGTAATTTTCAAATGATTTTTAATATGCTCAAGTCAATAAAATGTATAAAAAATTATTTGAATAAGGCGTTTAGTCAAAAGTACCTCAGTGTGGGCGCAAATTGTGGTACCACAGTGTGGGCGGGAATTGTGGTACCACAGTGTGGGCGCAAATTGTGGTACCACAGTGTGGGCGGAAATTGTGGTACCACAGTGTGGGCGCAAATTGTGGTACCACAGTGTGGGCGTAAATTGTGGTACCACAGTGTGGGAGCAAATTGTGGTACCACAGTGTGGGCGCAAATTGTGGTACCACAGTGTGGGCGCAAATTGTGGTACCACAGTGTGGGCGGAAATTGTGGTACCACAGTGTGGGCGGAAATTGTGGTACCACAGTGTGGGCGCAAATTGTGGTACCGCAGTGTGGGCGGGAATTGTGGTACCACAGTGTGGGCGGGAATTGTGGTACCACAGTGTGGGAGCAAATTGTGGTATCACAGTGTGGGCGCAAATTGTGGTACCACAGTGTGGGCGCAAATTGTGGTACCACAGTGTGGGCGCAAATTGTGGTACCACAGTGTGGGCGGAAATTGTGGTACCACAGTGTGGGCGGAAATTGTAGTACCACAGTGTGGGCGGAAATTGTGGTACCACAGTGTGGGCGGGAATTGTGGTACCACAGTGTGCGCGGAAATTGTGGTACCACAGTGTGGGCGGAAATTGTGGTACCGCAGTGTGGGCGGGAATTGTGGTACCGCAGTGTGGGCGGGAATTGTGGTACCGCAGTGTGGGCGGGAATTGTGGTACCACAGTGTGGGAGCAAATTGTGGTACCACAGTGTGGGCGGAAATTGTGGTACCACAGTGTGGGCGGAAATTGTGGTACCACAGTGTGGGAGCAAATTGTGGTACCACAGTGTGGGCGCAAATTGTGGTACCACAGTGTGGGCGGAAATTGTGGTACCACAGTGTGGGCGCAAATTGTGGTACCACAGTGTGGGCGGAAATTGTGGTACCACAGTGTGGGCGGAAATTGTGGTACCACAGTGTGGGCGCAAATTGTGGTACCACAGTGTGGGCGGGAATTGTGGTACCACAGTGTGAGCGGGAATTGTGGTACCACAGTGTGGGCGGGAATTGTGGTACCACAGTGTGGGCGGGAATTGTGGTACCACAGTGTGCGCGGAAATTGTGGTACCACAGTGTGGGCGGAAATTGTGGTACCACAGTGTGGGCGGAAATTGTGGTACCACAGTGTGGGCGGAAATTGTGGTACCGCAGTGTGAGCGGGAATTGTGGTACCACAGTGTGGGCGGGAATTGTGGTACCACAGTGTGGGAGCAAATTGTGGTACCACAGTGTGGGCGCAAATTGTGGTACCACAGTGTGGGCGCAAATTGTGGTACCACAGTGTGGGCGCAAATTGTGGTACCACAGTGTGGGCGCAAATTGTGGTACCACAGTGTGGGCGCAAATTGTGGTACCAAACAGCGCACGCGATGAATTAAATAATATAAAATACATGGTTGCTAATTTGCTAAAAAAAAATATTATAATTGTATTTGAATTGAACCAATTTTTAAGAAATAGATTTAATTAACTTCATGAAAGGAAAAATTATCTTGATCCCCCCTAATTATGAGCCATAAAAAGATTCGATTAAAAGGGGGTGCGAGAGACATATAAGAATTATAAATATACATTTTCATTAAAAATTAAATAATTCATATAATTTTATCAACCTGAATATTAAAAACCATTCGAAGAGCACTGTAAGCATAGGGAATAATTAAATTAAATATAAATAAATAAATGGTTCAACTATTAAAATTGACGACGAAATAGAAATGGAAATGGATAGGCTGCGAAATAGAAGTCGTAATGGAAAAAGGCGACGAAATAGAATGGGTCAAATGGAAAATGAAATAGAAATGGAAATGGAACGATTCTATCTTACAGAATTAGACCCCTGTTTTCACTCAAAACAAACCTATCTAGTTTTAAATATTTTTTTAATTGTATAAAAACTTTAATTTATACCAAAAAATTTAACAAAGTTACTCATAAAACCACATATAAAATTTATAAAAATTTAGTACAAAAATGTTTAAAATTTTTAAGAATAAAGTTTTAGTTAAAAAGTGTTATTTTTTTTTTTAAATTAACTCTTATTCCAACATAAAATAATACAAAATTAAAATATACATCATGATTATATTTAATTTTAATTACCTGTGCCATAGCTTGTGAGCACTCCTTTTTGCAACTCTCAAGAAGGTCCATTTGTCCTCTCAAAATTCGAACATTCCACGTGTAGTTCTCGTGTACTTTGTTGTACTTTTTTCCCTTGAGTCCAGCCTGGCTGGCTAAGGTTGGCAGTTCTTCGTGGAACTCGAGTAAACTGGAGTGGTGGCTGCTGATCTGGCTGAAAAGACGCTCCCCGTGCTCTGTCATGAACTGCATCTCACACATGACCCTTTCGAAGAGACTTACTCCCCTTTGAAGATGGGTCGGCAGCCCTGACGACTCAATTTTGATCCGCGGAACCTTCAAAAATTGAAAAAAAAAAAAATATGACGAAAAAGTGTTTTTGAATGATTTTTTCACTTACTCCTTCAAAGTCTTGTATGGAAACTGTTGAGACATGTGGACTATTTGCCAGCCTATGGAGCAACACCCTGAGACACTGCTTCATGTTGGCTGCCTCGCTGAGCCCACAGTCGGCTCGCAAAGCCTCCATGGCCAACTCCACGTCTTGACGCACCCTGAGAACCTCCAGCAGATCTGCTGTTGCACCCTGTTTAAAAAATTTGATATTTAATATTAAGACACGTCATTTTTTTAAGTTAAAAACCTTTAATTGCTCATCCACTTGTTTCAAACCAACAGTCCGGATGTCTGTGTGAAGTTTTTCCGATTTTGAACTTTTCAGCTTCTGTAAACAAAAGTTTGCGTTTAGGTTTGCTTGTTTGGGGCGATAAGTTTTAAAAGAAGCTCAGAAAGAAACTCACCCCTCCACCTTTTTTATTAGTGATAGCGATGTGCACAAAGAGAATTGAGTTCTCCAAGGGCTCACCAGTGTTGGAAAGAAGTCGAATGTGACGATAGCCTGCATGCATAATTAAGAAAACCTTAGAATCCCTTATGATTTAAATCATGTAAAAGGAAACATTACTATTACTGTTAGTTTTGGTGGATGAATTTTCTTAATAAATTAAATACAAAAAGCTTCCAAAATTTACTTTGGTGGGTATTTAATTTAATTTGCAAATTGATCTTTAGTGAAGATATTAAAAATCAGACTCACCTGGTTGGAGGCAGTCAAAGGGAATGGTGTATTGGCCGATAAAATCGTCACCAATATATTCATCGTCGAGAACTACAAAACGAACAAGCACCAGTTCTGGGAGCACAACCTGAAACTCAAAACTCTCCTCAAATATAGGACAGTTGCCCTCGTTGGACACAGTTTTTGTTTTTCTCTCTGCAAATAATGACGAATTATTAATTAAGATGTTAGGTTATTGTTTAAATTTTTTTTAAATACCAGTACAGTCTGCTGGAATGCCAAACAACTGGATCACTATGTAGGGGTCGATTACGTCCCCCTTTGCCATTGATCCCCTGGGTCGTGGCAGTTGCTGCCCGCTTATTATCTAAAAAATTGAAATATTATTGGTATTTTTTATTTATTTAAATTGTACAAAATTAATAAGTACCTTAATGTGAAGGGTTTGAGGAGCTACTCCAGGTACAAGGTCTCTAATGTTAGCACTAAAGAAGGAGATCTCTTCTCTCATCACAGACGGTTTCAAAACATAACCACATCCTCCATTCTGTCTAAATCTACCATCGTACAGGTCCATCATTTGGCCTGGCGTTTGAAAGTTCAAAGCCACTGTGTAAATAATTCGTCATTAATTTTAAAAAACTAATTCCTTTTAAATTTCTGACCTAACTGGCAGCCACAGTTCCAAAAGTCCTGTGGGTTGAAATTACTCGAGTCGACTCGGCTCGCATTAGGAAACACCTTGGTGAGGAAGGACTTGTTGTGATTGACAAAATCCTCGGCGCACGCATGTGCCAACCTCGTGGCCGCCGACTCGCTTAGTGAACACATTTCCTTGGTTGTTTCTGCAACACACATTACAAAGTTTTGAGGTGATATTAATAATAAATTAATAGAGCCGCTTACGAGTTTGCTTAGAAGTAGCAAAGTCGATGAACTTGGTCCTGAGCAAGCCGACGAGGTCGGAGAGTTCTCTGCACAGAGTGATTGTTTGGGCCTTGTCAGGGACCTTGTTGATGGTGCTGGCGCGGCGATTGTTGTTGTCACAGCCTTCGTCTTCGTCACTCACCTCGCCGCTCTCTTCTTTACACTCGGCTGGCAGTTTCTTGCCCTGGAAAAGCAAAAAATTTAAATATATGTTAAACTTGAATTTTTATTGGTAAAAATGGGAGATTGCCTTGTGTGTTTATGTGATTGAAAAATTAAAAATTCATGAAATAAATTTTTCATCAATAATTTTTTAAATAAAAATAATTGTTTGAAAAAATTATGCATACTAGTTTCCATACTAATAAATATTTTTATGATCAAGTTCATACCATGATGAGAATTTTGCCCCTGAGCTCGACAGGACTCATTTGGCAGGGCTCTTTGGGACTGTTGTCCTTATGGATGTACAAATGCTCCCGAAGAACAGTTCGCAATATTCCTGCCACCATCCGCTGCTGTTCAACAGTGCAGTGGTTCTCCAAGTGAATTATCAAGGGATATCTGAAAGTCAATTTTACAATATCGAACACAAAAAATATCACAAATCCAAACTCACTGAGAATAAATGAAAGCGAATTCCTTTATTACTTCTATACAGTCTCTGAAAAGGATTTTTGAGGTCATTGAGTTGCCGTGGTACACGAGGGGCTGTTCTGGGCCGTCCCAGCAGTCAACTGAAAAAATGTATAAAATTGTAAGATCTCTTTTGTGCCTTCAATAAAAGGGGAAGTGAAAGGTCAATTTTAAGTGGGTTTAAATTAGCCACGTGTAAATCAGGTTTTTAAAATTATAACTGCGGAAATTAGCATTATGTGATTCACCTTTGACGCAACGGCAGCCATTTCCGAGCGCCCTAATGTAGCCCTCTACGCTGGAGGGCCCTTTGACCTGGTCCTCGAGCAAGTACGAGTTGTGGGAGGAGGAAATGAAGTAGTGCGTGAGTGGCTGCGACATGTCCTGACAAACGGCCCGCTGCACTGGGTCGAAAATGTCGCAGTCCTCTGACAGCAGGAACTTGGTGAAACCTGCGGCCGAAAGAGCGAGGGAAATTTATAGCCGCTTTTCCTCGTTTTAATATATATAGAAGAGAGTGAACACCCACCGTCGATTTGCAGCTGGTTCTTCTCCCGCGCCTCTGGGTTCGGTTCGTACTTCAGAATTATGGACAAGCACTTTTCTGACGTCAAATCTGAGATCTATAATTATAGAGATTGTCAGACAATGAAAAAAATAATATAAACATTAACCAAAAATTAAAATTCATTTCACTCCGAGAGTTTAATTCTATAATGAGCTGATTTGGTTTGAAAATATTAATTTGACCAGAGATTTAATTGATTAAAAGAATCCATTACATAAATTTTAAACGCGATTAAATATTTATTTTTGCTGGTTCCCTTTCCCTTTATATGTGTAAATTGACACTCAAAACACAAGATTCTGCGAGTTAAGAAGGTCCTTGAATATGCAACCGGCAGCGTAAGTGTGTGCTGCGGGTAGCCTACTCTGTTCCAATTACCGTTTCAATATTTTTGGTGCGCGTCCAACTTTTCCGTTTGCATCTACATGATAGATTACAGGCCGTTTCCTCTCGCGCGAGAGATTAATCAAGCGCCGAAAAGAGGCATTAATTACGGCCGACGAGAAAGAGAGTATGGCGCGTTTTGAGGGCGGCGGAAGCGCCACTCTCGCAGCACATTCAGGGTCGTGTTTCACGAGCCGGCAAAAGACAAATAACGCATCTCGGGAATGAAAATGCGCGCACACACGTCACGAGTGAGAGAAAGGGAGCAGAGGGTGCATTAGGACAAGTGTAATCTTAAAGTGTACCCTCGCTTCGCTGCTCCCGTATCTAGTTTCTTTTGCACTTACCCCCTGTTCGCCTTCGAGGAAGAGCTGCAGGTCCTCAAGTGTCAGGTAGTCCTTGTTAGCAAACCTGACGGCAAATCGATAAAATGGGTGTCGTAGTTTTGACTCCAATTTTATTTTATTTAAAGCTAAAATACTAAAAAAAATACCGTTTTTCAAGTAAATTTATTTGAAAAAAAGAGGTGAGAGCTTAAAAATTATTCTAATTCAAAGGTATTGTAAAAATTTTTTCAACAAATTATTTATAAAAATGGAAACGAGAAAATTAAAGATCCTTTAAACATTCTTATGCATCTATATAGAAAAAAATTATCCCCTTTTTGTGGATAGAAACTGAAAATTAATTTTTTTTCACCTTATTAAAAGGAAGTAAATTTCTGGTCTGGTGGCCACTTCCTTGAACATATCGATGAACTCTTTACTGTCCACCTGCCCTCGCTTGCCATCCATCTTCATTTGGTCAAATTCCTGCAACAGTTCCATCATTATGTCATATATTGAATTTCGGAATTTTGCCTGGCTGGATAATTTTGCAAAAGCCTTTCTTTTATTATTCATGGCAGGAAACTTGCTTCGTCTCTCGTTGTGAACTTTTCGGGTATATGAGAGGCGACGGAGTCGAGTTTGGAATCCTAATGAGATTGGCGTTGACGGAAAGAAGAAAAGCGGCTTTGAAGACATTCAGCGTGCGTGTCGCGCGAGCGGTGAAAAGTTTGCCAAATTAGCAGCTTATTCATCGCGAATCACTGCGTCAAACAGGTCGGTTTTCGACGGCAGACTTTGAAAGTTCCTCACTCGAAATAAGCTGACTTTTGTTGTGGGAAGCGCAAGGCCGGCATTTGTCTGCCTACGCCTCAAAATCGAGAGTTAAATTCAACTGAGTGAGGTGGATCTTAAAATGCTTCACGGACTTGTTGTTAAATAGTTCACAAGTTATATCAATAAAATTCATGAAAGTAAACAAAAAAATACATAATTATTAATTGGTAGCTAAAATGCCTAAAAACGTGACTTCCAGTTGTTGTGTTAAATTGAATTAAATATTAAATTGAAATCAAGCTAAGATTAAGTAAAAAAAATTAAAAAAGTTTTTTAAAGCCACATTTAATTTAAATAAGTGGCGCTTTTTTATTGAATTACATTCATTTCTCTTTCCACGTTTTACAGGAATTTTATTATTTTAAGCGATTAAATATTAATTTAAAAAATACTAATATTTTTTAATTATTTTATAAAATTGATTTTCTGGCCGAAAAAATAGCGCTAGAGAAAGACGCTTATTTTGGCCGCCAAACTTTTCTCCTTTTTTTTCTCTAATCGTTCTCATTATGTTCCGTCGCAACCCGTTCTCAATCATTCTTCCTCTCTCTCACCTGCTGCTTGTTATCGAGGCGGGTGCCAATTTATCATCTTTATCTTGTGTGCCGGCGGGGATTGATTTTCGGCCAAATTGAGGAGTGAAGGAGGCCGGGAGCGAAAAGTATCAAGTGCCTAACCCTTGAGTGCTTGGCGCGCAACAAAGGCCGGTTTCTCTCTCGCGCTCCTGCACCCCAATTTGCTACCGCGCCAATCCGCAGTTTGAGGATGCTGACTTTGCATTTAGCTTGTAAATAACTGAGACGTTTGCGCCACTGACAAGTTGCTAAGTGGCTTTGCGGTTTTCCAAAATGTAATTAAAACAAGGATTGAGACTTTTTAATAAGGGTTCGCGTTCATTCATGCGAAATTAATTCTTGTGTCTCACGGCAGTTTTAATTAAAAGGTCTGGAGAAAAGTGGGCTCTTTAATTTCCTCTTCATTCTTCCCCGAAAAAAGGAGAACAAAAAGCGAGCCGCTCTCACTTTTTCTTGAATTTTTTCCTTGTTCACAAGATAAATGTCTTCAGAAGAATGGCATGACATTTGTATCAACGTGCTATTTTTTGTATCAATAAAAAAAATCGATAAATTTGTTTCAAAATAATATTGAATCAGAGAGTCAGTGGGAAACAATTTGCAGTAAAAAAGTGAAATCAGGCCCTGCTGCTTGTGTAAGAAGAGCAGATAGGAGGCGTTTATTGATTCACCCCCGCGGCTTCATCATCGTCAATCCATATCGCGCGGGGCGGCCTAATGCGCGCCACCGGCAGCCGGCTCTCCTCTCTCCGGGTGTGCTATCGGGTTGCTAATAACGCGCCCCAGTGTTTGTTCCTTACTTGGAAAAGAGATATGTTCATAGAAAGATGAGGCTATTTGCGCAATTTCACTCGTCATTACCTCGCAAGATCAAATTCGTCGGCCAATGAATTTTCTCCTTAGAGTTAGATTGTACAACTCATAGAGTTATTGCTTTCAACCTGATTGAACAAAGAGTTATATTTTGAATGTATTGAAACAATGCTATAACGACAATTTATTTTTCATAAACATGGATTTTCCAGGAAGAAAGATTATATAATAATACAAAAGCTCACTTCTCATCAGGAGAATCTTAACTGTTTCAATTACATTTTGATTTGATTTGTTTTTTTAATTTTCTTAATCAGTACGGTGCTTTCGAATATAATTCTAAATAATAATTAATCTAGGTTCATTATGTAATTTTTAATTATACCTGGTAGAATTTGAAGTAATTAAGAATTAAAAATATATTTAAATTGACCAAGTAAGTGAATACAGACACCCAGAAAATACAATTTACATCTGGAAACTTCATTCAGGCTAAGCATTTATTCCTTCCTGACAGCGAGTTAAATTTATTTTCCTACTGTACAGATATTATTCGAATTTATTATAATTTACTATCTCTTTTTCATCATCTGCAGTATGAGCTTGGATTTCAAAATTTTAGCATCACGTTTGCAATCAGCAGAGAGGAATTCAGCATTTTATTTTTTGCTTTTTTTATAAGGAGAACTCTCAGTGGATTGTGAATTTCACTGGGTGATTGATGAGCAAAAGAAAACATCGCATTCTCTTTGACGAGAACCGGATTTCGTGAGAAGAGGCAATTTTACTTCTCTCTCAAATATTGGATTTTCTCCCCGGTCGATCGATGACGCAGATTACAAAGGTGAGTGTCGCTTTGGAAACACATTTCATGTGTCTGCGGGCTGTTTTCGTGAGTGACAATATTAAATCTGGCAATTAGGCAATTTCGCCCCCGGTCAACAGGCGATACGCCAGAGTGCGATTTAATTTACGTCAAACAAGCAGGCGTAATGGTGTTAATCGGATTAAAATTAATGTACAAATGCAAAATATGTACGAACGAAGCCTGGTGTGTTAAAATATATGCAATCTGCCCTTCATGCTGAAATTCGATTTGAATAGGATTGTGCAATGATATAATTTTAGTAACATTTTTTTTGTATGGCTTCACTATTTTTGGCTCACTGATATTTTCATTCAGGATATGTACGGCTTCTTATATATAAAATCACTCACCAGAAGTTTTTGCCTGATCTTCTCGGTGGCGGCCGTTTGGCCACTAAGCTTCTGGATGAGGCTGATTGCTGTACCTTGGTCCAGACTGTCATGGTCAGCAGCCGCTTTGTCAAACATGTGCTGCAACCATCTTTCACGCAGCGCCTGTTTTTCACCAATCGCGTCCGGAGCTGAATAACAAGAAAAAAGGAATGAAAATATAATATTTTCTCATTTTGTCTTTTTAAAAAACACAATTAATTTTACAATTTTATTTATTCATATTTATGTTTAAGAAGAAATAGATATTTTTAATATTTTAGCTTTGTTCAATCTGTTCTTGAATATTTTTTTTATGCAAATTGAAGAGAGTGGACATTTATTTTGACAAGCAGAAATTCTTATTTCCCTTTCGTAGCTCTTCAGGAAGTTTCATCCTGACAGTGTCATTTACTTCTCTCTCTTTCTGATTGCTCGTCTCTGTTGGCACGAGACAAAGAGTTGAGATAAAAAGCGCGCAGGTGTAGAGAATAAAGAAAGAGAAAAGTTTGCAGTTGGAAATGTGTTTTCTTTCACTATATGTCTGACTCCTTCTTATATATCATTTTTCCTTTCACGCTCTTCACTTACATTTCGAGGCGCCGATGAGGGCGTTGAGGCCCGTGACCCAGATGTTTGCCTCTTCGGAGGAGGGAGCCACCAGGTCGAGCGACTCGAAATTGTCTCCGTACAGAATTGAGAAGGCGCAGTCTTCGAGATGGTGCGAGCTGATATCCTTGTTGCGCAGAACGTCCGTGTTCTTGCCCGCGCGAATTTCTTTTATGCTCTCAATGTTAACTGCAAAATAAAAATTCAATTGTGATGTCCTTTGATTAATTAAAAATTACAGTAAAATGTTAGAGATAATAAATTCTGTTAGCAATTTTTTTATTTTCTGATCTCAGTAGGAAGAAAAAATTGTTTAAGATTAAAGATAGTTTAAGTAAGAAGCACTATTTAAATGTTTTGCTTGCTGGACTTACCCATTGCTTTTGAGGCCTTTTTTGAAGTCGGCGTCCATCGGATTGCACTCAGATCCTCGGCGAGGGTGAAAAAGCGATGATATTGTCTTGAGTTTGGACGCACCTTGATAAGACTGCTGCCACCCATCATGTAATGTAGGCATGCCGATGCTGCGGACAGAGCAAGAGAAATCACGTTAGCGGTTTCTGACGGTACAGGTAAAAGCAACATGCAAAGCGTAGAGGCTCTGCAGGTTGCATAATTCGTATCGTTCTCTTGTGAAAGAACAAAGTTTATGCTGCTTTATACTTCAAATACGAATAAAAACAATAAAACTCTTGAATAATCATTTAAAATGTAGTTTTTTTCTAATGTAAATTAAAAAGATATATTTATATTTTCATAAATTAAAAATGGTTGACGTGAACTTTTTATAAGCCGCGTGTGTTCATAATTGAACGCTGTTCATATGGCCCCTGGGTGCCACTTTGTATAAACAATATAAAGCGTATTCCAATCAATAACACCGCGAGCCACGGCAAGGCATTTTTAAATAAACGCCTAACCGAGCCCAAATGGAAAACAGCGGCCGCACACGAACGATTGAATGGGAATCGGTCGCCTGGGAATTGATCGGAGGCAGTGAATCGTCCAACAATAAACGAAAGGAGGCGCTAGCTGCTTCAGCAAGTAAAATGTATTGTAAAATATAAAAAAGCCAGAAGAGTATGACGTAAGCGGTTCCACGTTTGTAATAAATGTGCAGAAATAAAAAATTGCAAAGGCTTTCTCATATTTTTACTCGCTGCGAAAGCAAACACTGCTGTAATAATTCCTGGAATGGAACGAAAAGCGCAGGCACAATCTATGTCTATATTACGTACTAGATGGAGTGTGAGCGGCGCGCTGCCGACCTTTGGTGCTTGTTTAATATAATGGAATGGCGATAAAGGCAAACGAAAGCCTACAGTTGATGAGTGGATGAATGAGAGGAGCGTGCGAAATTTTGAAGTCGCGTATATTATTACGCCTACTCCATCATCATTACATCAAAAGCAAAGCTGAGCAAATTTTGGGCAAAAAAGTGAACAAAATTCTTTAAATTATATTATAATTGAAAACAACGGGCCATTAAAATAAAAAGTATACTTAAATAAGGACAAAACAGTTTTTTTTTTTAAATCTCAAATTTTTACTTCCTCACTCATATTATCTCTTATTAATTTAATTAATGTAAAAGATGGAAAGCGTTATTAAAAAGTCTCAATACTTTCAAAATTCAGAAAATCCTCAAAATTTTTCTACGGAAGTTTATAAGTGTTTTGAAAGTAAAAAGCAAAGAAATAAATTAACAATTTATAATTTTTGTTTGAATTACAATTTCAATCCTGCGTTGGTATTTTTTTTTAAAATTATTTATAAATTATTTCTATCATAATGTTCTTTTTCAATTTGACCAATCATTTATGAGTTTTTTTTTTAATTTTCTTTTTAAATTTTTACTATAAAGGGGATGAAAAATTAACAAGATTCCCACCGTGTCTTCTTCCCAGGCGGCTCAACAGAGTAATAAAATAAAATCCCTGGCCGAGTGGCTAAACAAACACGAGCAGTAGCGCGCGTTCCCAGAGTGATAAGTAAGTGTCACGTTCTGCAGACGACGCGTGATTTATCAGGAAAACTCGCAGCACTTCATCTCTGGGCCTCCATAATGAAAAGGCCGAACAGAATTGCAAGCCGGCAAGGTGCCGTGTTATTTTTCCTCGGGCTCTCCTATCATAATGGGCGCTCGCGCGAGATGAAAAACATCAGGGGTAAATTTAGGGCCGGAACAAATATGTGCGTGCGCCACACGGCCGCGCGCTGCTCATTTTTTCACTCAAATGTCACTTGGCAAATAAACGTGGAACACCGCGAATCTGAGCTGCGTAGGGAAATTTAGTGCTCACAACACACATGTGTCCTCTCTCGCGTTCTGCCGCGCGATGCACAAATTTTCACTAAATTTTACGAGCGACACTTTGTTCGCAGACGCACGGTCGCCACTTTTATGTGCATTTTACGGACCGACCCGAAATGGTGTGCAGAGACGACGGTTTTAATATGCATATGTGCCACACGTTTCCGCCTCCGGAGCTAAACAACCCTCAATATCATTCCCCAAACTAAAAAATTGACAAAAGCTGGTGCAATTAAAAGTTATCAATTCAAACTCACTCAAACTCAAATAAAGCAGAGAAAAGATAAAAGGAATAATATTACGGTCACTTCGCGAGCTTCGTGAAAAAAAAATGGTAAAAAATGGTGTAAATATGAATTTTAGAAGGAAAAAACAAAAAACCCTTCAAATCAGTACTGTTGATTTGCAGGTGATTTGATGGTCAATTCAATTGTTTATAAATTTAAATTATGAGTTAAGATAATTAGAGAAATTTCAGGTGACACATTTAGTACAATAATACTAAATAATTAGCCTTAATTCCTAATGCCTAATCATATTTTATGAAATTTAACATAAACAGGAATGTTCTTCCGTGAAAATGAAAATTTTTTCTGTTGAGAAAATAAGTGATCACTTAAAGAGACGTTAATTAAATTTAAAAAGCATTTCGTCCTACAAGAAAATATTTATATCTATTTAAAAAATTCCGTCTTTTTTCACAAAAAGTAAAATACAAGAAGGGCGCAAGAATATCTTAGCGTAAAAAGATGCTTCATGTTGGAAGATTAGGAAGAAATTTTGGATATCAAATTTTTAATATAGGCGCATTAGAGCCAAAATTAGTTTTTCGTTCAAAATCGCATTACATTGGAACAAACAAAAATGTGCTTCCGAATTTTCCGCTTATTAACAAAAATTAAATTAAGCTATAACGCAATCAGCCAAAACGCTAATAAAAGAGTAAAAAATCAAATTTCAATTAACAAAAGCCCTTTGCAAAAAGCCAAATCAAAATTTTCCTGCTCGCATCGGCGCGCGCTGCTTTAATTGACTTATATTGGCAATAATTATATTATTTTCTTCCTGTTTGACGATCAAGCGCAATTAAACTGATAAGGGCTTGAGTTTGTTGTTTCACGAGGAAGGGAGAGAGCTGAACAATAATTGTTGCAAAGAGCAGAAAACGCTTGCGCAAAACGTTATTTGCATAATGTCGACGATTTCCTTCAAAGCGACATCGCCGAGTAAGAAATGAAGATAGCCGTGTTTACAATTCGCATGACTGATAACGTTGGAAGCCACAGGAGAACATGGAATCACGCTAAAATAAAATTCAAAGTGAAAATATTTTGAATTTATATGAATTTTTTTATCTAAAATTAATTTTTAATTAATAATAAAATCAAACATGAAAAATTCAAAATAACCACATAATTAATTAAAAAATAAAATCATTGAATTATTTTGAACAATTGAAAAAAATTTACTTTTTTCGACTGATTGGCTGAGTTGTTTACATAACAAGGTCAGACATGTATAAGTGGATCATCAATAAAGTAGTACTATGACCATGCACCACATGCGTGCATGTGTATAAAGATAGATCATTACGATTTTCTTCCTTTGATGCAAAAATAATATCGCGCGAAGTGATATGTCACGCTTAGAGCACTCTCGCATTGCTCCGACGGAGAAATACTTCGCTGACCTTTGACTCTCGGGCAAAAAACGAGGCCGCGCTCGCTTGAATTAATCATTCAGCGATTCTGATGGATGCGCTGCTCTTCCTCCGCTTATCTCTGCCCATCGTAAAAGCGCATATTATTTATTTCCCCCGTGCTGAATTGCATTACCTCCATTATCATTGCACTCTGCTTGTTGTGTGCGCTGCTGAATCACATGAATCTCATTCTCGGCCGCTTTATAGGAGAGAGCGAAATGGCACTCGGTGCGCACACAGCACGGCCGTTTGTTTTACAACCGCGCTGCGTGTCGCAAGCGAGAGAAAAAAAAACGTGAAAACGCTCCGACATCAAAAGGGTAGAGACAAGTTTGTGAAATTTACCACGTTCAAAAATTTGCAGCGTGAAACAAAAATTTTGGCAAAATGTTGGCTTTTTTTACTAACACATTTTTATGGAAGGCTGTTTAAAATAACTTTGTCAAATTAATATAATATAAAATATTTTCTAAATATAGTATTTGATCATGCTGAGAGCCATTTCAATTAATAAAAACTTTGCAAATCTTTCAATTCGTCAATTTGAATGTAATTAGAGAAAAAACACGCTTTTCGTCCTTGAAATACATCCACAAAAAATTTCCACAGGGTTAAAAAAAATTGTATGCAAATGATAATGGAACTTATTTTTTAAAGCAAGGAAATTATTTATATTAATAAATTGTATAAAAAAAATGAAGCTAGTGGTCTTGAGTCAATAAAAATTAAATTTTTACTACATTTTTTCATTTTTTCTCTCTCTCAAAGATCTTGTTTCATCAACAATAGACAAATTCTCCACCATTTTATAGCTCGAATCAAATACAGACATCTGTACAGAACATTGTTGATCCAATCCACGTTCACGTGTTCCGTGTTATTTTTCGCAGACAAATACAAATAAAAAAAATGCAGCGTGTGTGTACTTGTAAAGAGCGCCTCGCAATTGGATTTACACTTGCGTAACGTGTACGTGTGTCGGTCGATTTTTCTTTTGCTCTTTCTGCGTTTGTTTTGTGTTTGGCGGTGGTAGTAGTAGTGGCGCGAGCACACCTCTCGCTGACAACATTCCCACAAGCTGGGCTATTTTTACGTGGGGTCGTGTCTCTGCTTTTGCCAAGCGCCCCTTAATGAAACGCACACGCGAGATAGATAGGAAGGAGCCGACATTTAGCAGCCCAATGTCATCACAGAACCCACCAGCCAGTTTGCAAAGTACATAGCGGTACGTCATCATCAAGGGTTTCCCTGCAGTGCACCTCTATGTGCCTTCAAAGAGATAATTTGTCTGCTCTGCCGCTTTTGACAACCTACTAATCGTAAATCGATTTCCACTCCATCAAAATAATATCAACAGGCTCATCCTCGCTTGATCAGAATTTTAATTATCATGATATCACATTTTTTTTTAGAATAACATCAATTAAATATACTTCTCAACTTACGGTGCGTCATGAATGAAAATGAAAACCTCCTCTTTAATCTCTCGAAGCGGGTACATTAAGAGA